ATTACAGGTCCCTGTGAGGTCCCTGTGCCTCCTCGCGGCTCCTGCTGAATCCTCTGACACTAGGACAGCAGGCGGCACCTGAGACGGATCATAAACACAGAATGATATCTGAGTGGTTAACGGTTTGGCCTCAGGATCAGAGACAGAGGTGGGATTCCCCTGTTGGTCTAATGGGGCTCAGTCACGGTGCACAGACGCAGCTTTGATCCAAAACAACGCCGTGATTACAGTGATCTGGGCTTTGCTGCGTCACTCTCCTCCTCCTCTGTGTTGGTGCTTAAATGAGGTGAAAAAATGTACAGTATTTTTCTCTAATTGAGTTGGATTGTACGGCAGAGCGTGAGATCTTGTGTAGCGTCGTTAAAGATGCAGTGAGTGTTTCATACTGGCACAAAAGTCACTAAATTCATATTTATCTATATAGCGCCTTCCACAGACCAGAGTTACAAAACACTTTACAATTGTTGTCGGCATTTGTCACTCCACACAGTGATGGGATGTTTTAGTGGTAGCGGAAACCGGCGCACTTGGAGGAAACTTAAAGGTAGAGTATATAGGAGGATTTTTCAAAATTTTAGGAAATATACGCCCTCTCCACTTTTTGGTGAATACTTTTTGGTTTCATTTAACGAGCCGCGTATCACCAGAATGATTTACAATTGGGAGGGAGCACTAATAGTCTTGATGATCCACCCAGAAGTAGAAAATCCTCCAATATACTTTTAAGCAGACACGGGGAGAACATGCAAACTCCTCGCAGAAAGACTTTGTCTGGAGGTGTAATCGAACCCATGACCTTCTTGCTGTGAAGAAAAAGCGCTAACCACTCGGCCACTGTCACATAACCGAGTATAATCTCAATTTACAAGCTTGTCAAACCATAATTAATGAATTCACTTAGAAGCAGGGCTAACCACATGTAGTGTGTAACTTTGGGGGGATGCACTCCGTTGTGTAATATTACTGTACTAAGGAAAGCAGTACAATCCATTCAAATCTAAACTTTATTGGTTGCAATGTCAGTGGCCTGAATTAGGAGATATCAAATGTAAATAATTTGAAAACATCAATATCTTCTTCCAACTAACAGCAGCTCAGCCTCTACTTTAGATCACGAGGTTGAGAATTAGCAAAGCCGTTGTAGGAAAACAAAAATCCTAAATTGTTTAGCAGGTTTAACGTATTTTCTTCTCACACTCACAGTCAATGAAGTAAAGTGTTGAATGCAAATGAATCAATGGAGAAAGGCCATCCGAGGAACCGTCTGCAGCAGGAGCAGAGAGCCTCAGGACACAACCAGAGATGAAGACGAGTGTCATGGCTGTCATTTTTAGTTCCCATTTTATTTTGTACCTGTTCCCCTGTGTCTTCTTGAGTCCTGATGCGTTACACCTGTGTCTCCCTGTGCTCTTTCCCTCTTTATAGTCCATTAAGTGTTGTTCTGTGCTTCTTGTCTTCGTCCTCTCTTCCTGTGTTTTACATTCAGTTCAGTTCAGTTTTTTGGATTTTTGTTTATTAGATTATGTTATTTTTGCAGTTTGTATTTTGGGTCCTTCGTGACACCGAGGCCTCAAACCTCCGGCTCATGCTGGATGTGTGTCTCTTCTTCAAACCTATTTTAAATCACAATATCACGACAATTTGTCTTGCAACACAAGTTTACCAAACCTTAAACTGGGTCCAATCCACTTCGTACAAGGGCTACTTTAGTTTAAACAGACTTGTCCAGGAGCCGACAACCCAAACTGTGAAGCTGGTTTCAATGGTTTTGGGCTGTTATGAGTTTTAAATTAGATATTTACAACATGTGTTCTATAAGTAAGTAAGTCATCTTTATTTATTTAAAAAAACACGAAATCTTTCACTCCACACAGAGATGGGGACATGAGGTTGCGTACAGGAGGCGCATGCCAGACCGGATTTAATACATTTTGGTGTGTGTGTGTGTATGTGTGTGTTAGCGTGTCTGTGGGTCACTGTTATACTGAATATTATCTCAGAAGTTTGGCTCAGTCTAGTGTGTGTTCTCTAAGCTGAAGGCTGGTGGTTCAAATCCTGCTCAATATCATGGGGCGAGCGGTCGGATCGACTTACCCACAGATGGGCAGATGAGAAACCAGCCCCATTGGTGACTGCTGCTGTGTTTCCTTGGGCAAGACACTTCACCCACCTCCAGTGTCTGTGTACACTGGGGTATGAATGGGTGATTGGTTGCTTTATGTGAAGTGCTTTGAGTGCCTTGAAAAGGTAGAAAAGCGATCATTTATTTATAATTTACATTCACTATGGAAGCTCAAACCTGTGGATCTCACTCAGGAGCAGGATTGGATCCACTAACCTTCGGCTCAGAGGACACACTCTCTACATTACCGCTGCCATGGATCATTCTGTCAAACCGTTCTGTCTCTGTGGAGAAGCAGTTTTCTGTCTCTGCTTGTCTTTCCAGCAACAAAACACAACAACACAACACAATGCCATAATTTGGAATCTAATTTCACTGGATCAAATATGTACTTCTATGTGCAATATAGAACCACATGTGTCCACTGTTGCTCTTCTTCACTTTGTCCCAGACCCTTATGCTGCTAACATGTAGTGCAGACGTATACATACAACTATATAGTACTTGCACTAGAATATACAGTACTTTATACTTGTGCTATAAGTTGTGCTACTATATGCATCTTATTGTGCCGTGCCAAAGGCAAAAGGAGATTTTATCCTTCTTTATTATGCCATTTTTTATACTCATTATGCTTGATTTCATACTTGTTTTTTCTTCATGCTAGAGTTAGAAATGTGTATTTTATTTTATTTAGTGTAGGTATCATTATTTATCACACTTGTGCTGTGTGATCCTTATTCCTACTATTCCAACACTGAAATTTCCCCATTGTGGCACAAATAACGGATCTCTTCATCTTAATCTATTTCAATGCTGCAACATTACTGTGATGAGGTGAAGAATAACCGTATCACCCAGATGTGTGCAAAGTGAAAAACAAGAGAGAGAGAGAGAAAGCATGTGTGGTATTTGTTAGCAGCAGATGTAAACTATATAAGCAAGTCTAAACCGCCAACCCGTCTAAAAACAAAACTTTATACACATTTTACTTATATTTTGGAATTTACTGCCGTGTTTAAAGCTTCCAGTAACTGTTCATATATGTAGCACTTAATGGCGAGTGGGCTGCGTGGTTCTGTTGAGGAGGACCCAGAGACAAAAGCAGGTGTTTACGTGTTTTATACAGGAACAGTCCATTTGTTGCCCTCGGTAATAACTGGCCCGTTAATGTGACCCCTGACACCAATCCTTCTGCAGTAAACAGCTTATTTGCACTATGTTTTTTCAGTTTTTTTTTTTAAAAGCAGGTTTAGTCTTGAACACGATCTTGGTTTTCCTTGTAAAGATTTAACGTTCAGGATTTCACACCTGTTTTTACTGGATGTGGGGACTTTCTATTTGAGTGTAAAGCGGTGTCATTCACAAACCCTCCCCCTTGTGCCAAACAAAAAGCAGAAAAGTTGGATTGACTCCCCAACAGTTTTATGCTGCTGGGAGGATTTATTGTTCATTGTTTGTGACAGCGAGGTGCTTTGTGCTGGAGGCGCCTGTGGAGGAGGTTTTGGGGCCCGGGGCATGTGATTTCAGAAGCAATGAAGCGGCCACAATGACACACTGGCAGCACGATAGCCGTCTTGTATGGTGTGACTGTGTTGCTGGGAATCAGTTCCAGTTATACATACTTCAAACGCTCTGACCGACTCACAGATAATTAGTCAGCATTGCTAGACAGCGTAAAGGCAGGACAGTGTCAGGGCAGTTACTGTGGGTAACTGTAACATGAGCTGCCCCAGTGATGCGCCTTCAGACGGATGCCGCTCCAGTGTTTCCCTCAGTATCAGAATGCTGTCAGGGGATAAGGGATCACTGGATGTTTAGCAGATGATGGCAGTGCATTGTTGGTTATTTTGGGAGAATGGACACATGTGAAGGGGTGTGGTGCGCTCACATTTAGCCTCACTGATTCCACTCTGGCCCAATGGACTCGGCAGACTGGTTATCCTGTGTTTACCTCTGAGGAACAGACCCAGACCTGGCCTCACCTCCAAGACTCCATCCCGCCCGGGCCGGAGATCCGATTGCACAGTTTATTTTAGTCGCACCTTGACTGCATCCTGTTAACATTGACCCCAAAGGGGAAGATGGTTTCTACTTTGATGTAAATAAAGATTGCTCTTCCTCTTGAAGCCTCATAAGCCTTCTTCACAGGCCGTCTGTGGCCATTTGTCATGATATAAGCCTGCTGTCTCTGGCCTCCATGTCCCAGTGAGCACATGTGAGGTGGCCACTTTGTCGCACACGTCACACATGTGTCAGCTGCTTTTAATACAGCACATATTTGATGTAGCTTTGGAAGCAGCAACGCTCACCAGTGTGTTACAAGCACAGGCCATTTATCTTTGCAGCAGCTGCACTTCTGAAAATTGTTCAATCGGAGCTTTCAGCAGAACAAAACACAGGAACATTTTCCACTGTGCAGCATGTCTTAACAGGTTATGCTCCACTGAACACAATCCTGATCTGGAGAATTAGTTCCCAGTTCCACTGACCGTGTATCCCAGGGGACCCGCCTCCACGTCCTTGTGGCTGGTGCCTTAAACTCAATCAGACGGTCTGGGCACATGAAATATTGAGATCTTAAAAGCGAATGTGTTTCTCAAAATGCCCTGGGTCGAGCTATATTTATCATTGGCACATTTCTCCATACAGTGAGAAGGAACTTGTTTAAAGGACCAAACGTTCATTCTCTTCATTACAGCTCTTGGATTTCAATTTTCAATAAAGAAAATATTTGTATATGGCCCTAAATCACAACAGCATCATCTCGGAGGACTTTACAAAGTTGTCGATTCACCAACAACAGATCTGAGATTCAAACAATTGGCTTAACAGTATTTCAATACAAACTAATGTAAAGTTTGTGTGTGCAGAGCTCATGGACACTCGGGCAGCTCGTCCCTTCAGTTTCTCCTTCAACACCAGCGACTATCGCATTCTGCACATGGACCAGGACCAGGGCCGGCTCTACCTGGGCAGCCGCGAGTACCTGGTGGCCCTGGACATGCACAACGTCAACAAGGAGCCGCTTATAGTGCGTACAAACACTTCATTCTTAAATCCAGGCTGCTTTTTACTGCACGCCTTAAGTCTCTTAAAGCTAATAATCCAGCTATTCTTTTGTATCACAGATCCACTGGCCAGCATCTGCGAAGAGAAAGGGAGAATGTCAGATGACGGGAAAGGGGAAACAGGTACATTCATGTTACATCCTGCTCCTTCCTGAGGTCCTGGCAGGACAAAGCCAATATTTAACTGTCTTTTTTTTGTCATCCAGGGCGAATGTGCCAACTTTGTGCGCATGATTGAGCCTTGGAACCGCACCCATCTCTACACATGTGGGACGGGAGCTTACCAGCCCATCTGCACCTTCATCAACAGGGGCTGGAGAGCAGAGGTGACAGAAGGACATCAGCACTAATGATACAAGGCTCCCTCACTGAACAAAGAAGTCACATGTTACGAGGAAGTATTTGGTCTAAGGCAAAGGGTAGAGTGGTCAACAAAAGGATAATAATAATAAAAGTGATGGTAATGTGACTTCAAAAGTAATAATTATACAAATATAGAGTGTATTAATCACAAAGTGTAAGGCTGCATCCAAATTCATCCAATAAATACCTTCTTTCTTATCCCTTTCTTCTGCTGGAGTCTCTAACTTTGATATACATTTGGTTTCCTCATGAGGAAAGGAAGGGAAAGGGAGGGGGTTGTTTTTTTGATTCAGATGCTGCCCTAAGAGTAAAAGATACAATCTGGGTGTCACATTTATCATTAGTAAGATAAGTTTATTTGTATAGCACAGCAACTCAAAGTGCTTAACAAAACAATCGAAACCTAGTGTTGAATGAGTGAGAGGGGTTGGAGCCAAACTTTTTTTTTGCGTCTTGTTATGTTGTATTTATTTTATGTGTTGTATGTGTGTTTCATTTGGCAAAACATTTCAATTCATAGAAGACTAAAAGCAAAATTCATACAGGCAATAAGCAAATGATTTATGATTTATATTTTCTGAATCTTTTTACCTTGTCCTTATGCAGTTATTGTCGGTGCATAAATGTTAAATTATTAGACAAACTAAACTTCCAGACGTGAGCACCACTCCACCCACCCCCCCCCCCCCCCCCCCCCCCCCAGGAGAGGAATTTCCAGCTAATGCCCCTCTCTACTGTACCGCCCTGGGATACGCTGTCCTCATAAATATTTCAGGCCGACAAACTGGGACAGTGATATGTTTATGATTTTTCTCCTCGTCCCTGGTGAGATTTTAGCTCTCTATTTTTACACGCAGGACTACCTGTTTCGACTGGTCCCCGGCTACGTGGACTCGGGGAAGGGAAAGTGCTCCTACGATCCCAAGCAGGAGAATGTCGCAACTTTAATCAGTAAGAACGCATCGCTTAAAGAAGAAATATTATGCTTATTTTTGGCTATTTATAATGTAAAAAGACTGTTTACTTTGTTTTTCATGTTTTAGCATCTGGATTAATATAATATTCAGTTTAAAAAAATTATGGTAAAACAAGTATGAAGGGTTAAAAATGGTTTCTGCCTGTAACTCCCTGTGCGACCACCAGAGGGAGGAGGGGAATTTGTTTTGTTTTCTTCTAAATTTGAGGGTTACCGACATATGATTGTAACTGACGTAATTTATAAAGAGAATTTGCCAAAAAAAGTTGATGGGACATGAGATTTTAGACAGAAAGGGGTGGAATTACCTGTTGGTGACTGAAGCTCCTGATTTCAGTGTGGAAGAGTCTGAAAAGAACTCCAGGTCTGTTTGTTTTTGAGGGAACAATGATGTAACTTAAGACAAGATGAGAAAATCTTTAAACGTCCCACAGTAGGGAGATTTCAGTGTTGCAGGACGGTAGGAAGAGCACAGGAGTATACAAAATATACAAAGAAGTGTTTAAAATATATATACTGTATATAAAAAAACAATGTATCTTCAGAATCAAAAGTTTTTTTATTTAAGTAAAAGGTAAACCATAATCTCAAATAAAAAAACGTACATAAAAAAATAGATACAGAGACATAGAAAAAAAACTATAATATACAAATACACACAAGAGACGTTATAGACTCACAACAGACTAATAAGAATAACAATGATAATAATAATAACATATTAGAGCGCTTTTTTAGGACAGTCAAAATTGCTTCACTTGGAATTAATTGATATAATACATATCTTTAAAAACACATTTAATAATCAGAAAATCAGCAGTTTAGGTCACGCCTTTTGTTTAACAGTTATGGACATTGGTCGTCTGCCCTTTATGGACCAATACCAATGTGATTTCTTTTTTATCTCTTGTGTTTGATTCTCTGATCTGTGTTGGTGAATTCAACGGTTGTGTAAAGTTCTCCGAGATAACAACTGTTGTGATTTAGGGCTAAACAAGAAAACATTGAATTGAATTGAATTGTGTTTTCTCTGCAGATGGAAACTTATACGCAGGCGTCCACATAGACTTCATGAGCACAGACGCGGCCCTGTTCCGGACTATGGGAGGGAGGACCGCCATCAGGACCGAGCAGTACGACTCGAGGTGGCTCAACGGTAAGTGTGGGGTGTGCCAGCTCAGCAGCAGGTAAAATGCCTTTTGATTACAGGCTGCAGAGCGCTGTCATTTTATTTGGCAACCACCTCCCTTCGCTCATATGAGTTTCTTCTCTTTTTTTTCTACCCCCACAGAGCCGGTGTTTGTTCAGATCCAGCAGATACCTGACAGCGCAGAAAGGAATGACGACAAGCTCTACATATTTTTTCGTGAGAAGAGCCTCGATGCCAACGGAGCCAGCCCCAGCGTTTTAGCGCGAGTGGGACGTGTGTGTCTGGTGAGACATATAATCATATATTTATATTTATTAGGCGCCTTTCTGGACACTCAAGGCCTCCTTACAAACGGTACAAAGTTAAAAGCAAAAACAGATAAAAGCAAAACCAATTAAAAGCCAAAAACACTTAAAGTAGATAAGTAATCTTTATTTATACAGCACATTTTTTACAGACCAAGGGAACCCAAATCGTTTTATAATTTTCAGAGTTCATATATATTGTTTCATTCTTACACGGTGATGACGGAAGCGAGACGCCCAACCCACTGCCGCATAGAAGACCCAATCAACACCATCCATTCACTCACCCATTATACTTATTGTGCATGTTTTTAGTGGTAGGGGAAACTGGAGCACCCGGAGGAAACTGACACAGACACAGGGAAAACATGTAAACTCCACTCAGAAAGGCCCTGGATTCAGAGTCAGGACCTTTTTGCTGAGAAGCGAGAGTGACATGTTGGGTCATAGTGAATAAGCCAGTGCCTATTGGTGTGTTTTTTGTGTTTTTTAGTGCAGTTTGGAAGTGTGGGAGAGTTGTGGGGGTCAGGGGGGAGAGTTCCAGAGCTTGGTGCACAATACGTAAAACCTGCAGCTCCGGTAGTCCTGCCCGAGCCAAGTAACTTCGACTGCTGCTCTTCCTGCTCCTGCGGCCTTAGTGGCATTGCAGGATGGGTCAAATGCAGAGGACAAAGCGGAAAAATAAAGTGCACATTTACATTTAGACCAAAAGGCCTCCTTGATGCTGTGATTCAAGTCCAAACTCTGGTGTTTTGCCAATTGTCTTTCTCTGCTATGCCCCATCATTTCCTGACACTACTTTACTGCTCCATTGAAAGCCCTGCAGGTCTTAAACTATACGTAAGGAAAATAATATAAATACCTTTCACATGGCTAAAGCTTTGATGTTATCGATGAATGCTAATAACGTGCACACAACAATGGCATCTAAAAAATAAGCATCCTTTGTCTCGCTCAAATGGGGCACAAGCTTTACTTCAAATATTGAGTTTACCCAATGAGATAAGATAAGAAATATTATCATTTTGGTTATTTGACTTGGATTTGTCCTTTTTTGGTCCTAGTTTTTCTTTGAAGCCCTTATGTAGACGTGGTTTGGTTCTGTTCTAGTCCAGTTTTAGACCCAATTATAATGATATCGTCAATGCTATCAGTCTGCCTTATCCCTGTGCTACCAGCAGTGGGAGGAGTTTTGGAAAACCTCAGAGTTTCCGAGGTCGCATGAAAGCGGCGTTAGACCGGAGCTATGAGGGGGCGTAGTTGCATGTTTGTGCCATAAGTTCCTGATATTAGCATGGATGGATCTAAAAACAACTCTAGGTCCGGAAAGGTGAAGTTAAAATCCATGCATAAAAACAGGAAATTAAAACATGCAAAAGAAACACACAATAAAAGCCGTTAAAACCAGTCCTGGGTGCAATTCCACTTTCTCACACCTGCAAGACAAACGCTTTTCAATCACCAAGAATCTTCTCAGGTTTAATCCACAATTGCTGATAATGTAAAACCACATATCTGGACCTGTATCTTTTGAACATTCATCCACAGAGACACTAGAGCAGTTAGAAAACGTGCTAATGTGTGTTATTTCTATATTATCTTCCCCCATTGTAATCAAACCTCGCCATCTGAAACATATTCCTCAAAGTACTTCATGGCCGTGACCTAATTCCATCCACTTTATTAATACTCCCTCTCTCCTCTTTTGTTGGCGATGAAGAATGATGAAGGTGGGCAGAAGTCCTTGGTGAACCGCTGGACCACATTCCTCAAAGCTCGACTTATCTGCTCCGTGATCGGGGAAGACGGAGTGGAGACGCGCTTTGATGAACTACGTGAGGAAATCATGAAATAAGGGCGCCGTGTTTTCCATCTGATAGGTGCGGCGGCCATATTGATTCCTCGCCTTCATTCTTGTTGCAGGAGACGTGTTCATTCAGCGCAGTCAGGACGACCGCAGCCCCATGGTCTACGCGCTCTTCACCACCGCCGGGTAAGAGCCCAGGGCGGCATTCTTGTGGCCTGGTTAATTGGAAGGTGTCTCCTAGTCCTCCCTTGTTTTTATTACTGTAAATATGATAAGACAAGTATTATGTGACCTCCGTGACAGCTGGAAAGTGATTAGGAGTTACCCTTTGAAATACCGTGTGTGTGTGTGCGTGTGTGTGTGTGTGTGTATGTGTATTTGTGTGCGTGTGTGTGTGTGCCAATTTCCAGGAGCAAACTTGTTGAGGTTTCCCCTGTCAATTAAGGCATCTGATTGGTCAATTCTTACATGGCCCATATCTGGTTTTGAAAAGACAAAATCAAAATAGAACCCCCAGGATCACAGAGAGCGCTAAACCACAGAACCTTTTAGGCCTGAAATGTTGAGTGAGACACAAACAGTTACTGAGCTTGAAGAGTTTACTTTTCAATGTCAATAGGAGCCAGTGCGTGATGGAGCAAAACTTTGTCCATGAGCACTTCACTATCGAGCTTCATTGAGCTAGTTGGTTAGCATTAGCCATCTATACACAGTCTATGCTTTGAACCTTCGCTGCTATTGCCACTCCTTCTTTAATTGCCTTAAATATCTCCAGTGTGAGATCAATGAAGTCTATCTTATCTTTTCTTAAACACACCTGTTGAAATACCTCTTAAACTCTCTTCATAACAGAAACTTGTGGATAATATATAATTTGCCCTAAGATTTAGATTCAGTCTGTAATCATTATTGCTGTGTTTCCGCCTCAGTGGAGTTAGAGTTGGACAAAATATTTAAAAAGTTGATTGTGTAATAGGTAATATATTTTGAGGAAAACTTCATCCATGAGCACTTCCCTATTGGGCTTTATTAAGCTTGGGATTTGTATTGTCTATCCATACATACATTCTATGGAAATTGCTATGATGTTTCAGACTTTTCACTTGAAAAAATTATCTAAAGCAGGGTTTCCCAACCTTTTTATGCCTTGGCACAGCTTTATCATTGACACACGACACATCACCTACAGGAAATAATTCAAGAATAAAACTCTGCAGCCTTTATCAACATCAAATCAAACAAGCTCAAACTAGTCTTTCTAATCTTCACTCATTATTATTGTGACCATGGTGAGGCGATAATGGATCATTTTCAAAGGCACACCAAACAACATCTCAAGACACACTAATAATAATAAGGCACCGGTTTTATATAGAACTTTTTTGGACAGTCAAAGACGCTTCACATGTCATTATTCATTCACTCCGTACATGGTGGTGATAAACTACTACTGTAGCCACAACTGCCCTGAGGCAACCAGTATGTGCCTTCGACCACCACCAACCATTCACACACACACCAGACTCATTCTAGGCAGTGTGGGTGAAGTGTCTTGTTTAAGGACACAGCCACAGTTTGAGGGAGTGGTCAGCGCTGGTCTCTCTCCACATGGTAACAGTGAGTGTCTTCTGTGCAGGTCTGTGTTCAAAGGCTCCGCTGTCTGCGTTTACTCCATGTCCGACATCCGCAACGTGTTCAACGGCCCCTTCGCCCACAAGCACGGCCACAACTACCAGTGGACAGAGTACAACGGCAAGATCCCCTACCCTCGACCCGGGACGGTATGTGCAGGAGCATAAAATCATAAACTATAAATGTTTGAGTATCAGTATTTGACGTAGAGCTAGGGCACCTTTGAAAATAGTACATGTTCAATTGAAAGATTTTTGTGCTAGTCTTATGTTGTGAGCAAAACAGATCACATTATGTGGTTTTATATTTTGCTACTGAAAAATAAAAATCCTTGTGAGTCACTATTTCATGCTTGGGCTGAGAGATAATCGGCTGCAGGTGGTTCTTTCACAAATCCTCATCCTACACATCCTTCTTTTCACAACTTTTATTCCATTGTGCCATATTAGCTGTTTATTATACAAACAGAATAATAACATAATAAGAATGTTGTGTTCTTTAGAAAGGATTTCAGAATACTTCATTCAGTATATAATCTGGATCTGGATACAGGTTGATCATCACCTTTTAAAACTGTATACAGTATTTAATAGTCTATTCAAGAACATTAAATACCTCATACATCAATATCGATTCCTGGAGACCTACTGTATATATTTTTGTAGAATTTCTCTCTCTCTCTCTCTCTCTCTCTCTCTCTCTCTCTCTCTCTACTCTCATTACTATTACATTCCATTTTGCCTCATGAATGGTCGGAACTACAAACTACAATATCTCGGAACAGCCCAGAACGCAGATAGAACCCTGTAATTCCAAGGGGACGTCCGGCTTCCCTCTGCTCACAGTCAAAAACAAAGGAGATCCATCATAACGCTGCAGTCACACTTGAATGCTTCTTTTTTTACAGTGCCCTGGAGGAACCTTTACTCCTGGCATCCGCTCCTCTAAGAACTTCTCAGACGAGGCGGTGAATTTCATCAGAGCCCATCCCCTCATGTATCACCCGGTCTACCCCATCCACCGGCGCCCTCTGGTGGTGAGGACGGGCGTGGACTATCGTTACACGTGTCTGGTGGTGGATCAGGTCGATGCTGTGGACGGCCGTTATGAGGTGCTCTTTTTGGGAACAGGTGAGGAGAAGGCCTCTGTTACTTTCACATCAGCTAAGACATAAGTTAAAGCTGGGATACCTAACTTTATGTTAGAGTTGAGGAGTTTTGTCAAAGCAAAAATCTTGTGAACAAATCAGACCACATCATGTTGTCCTCGTCTAATATTGGGCTGAGAGCTGAGTAAAGGTGGTCTTCTCTTTTTCACGTTTCTGTCTGTAAAAGCTAATTTAAATCTGTGAAAGTCTGACAGAGGCAAGAAAAAACAGTTTTGAAAATGAAGAACAAGTTAGATTGATTTTATTGTGTAGTTACATTTGAGGTTTGAAAGTTAGGTACCCCAGCTTTAAGCAAATGAGTTTCAAGCTGATGAGCACATTTGGGAAGCTGTAGTCTCCTAAAGCAAAAACCTGGATTTGAACATTGTCAGAGTAGAAGCCTGTCTCACATTTTCAGGAAGACGGTTCCAGATTTAAGCTGCATAAATCTGAAACGCTGCCTCCCTGTGGTTAGTCCTGACTCTGGGTATCAGCAGGAGGCCAGTCCCTGTGCTCCTCAGAGTCCCAGCAGGAGGTGAAGTCCCTGTGCTCCTTAGTTAAGTTAAAATGTTGATCTTTTGTTGTTTTCTTCCTCTTTGAAGATCGTGGGACTGTGCAGAAAGTCATCGTTCTGCCCAAAGATCCGACCAGCATGGAGGTGCTCACTCTGGAGGAGGTGGAAGTCTTCAGGGTAACCTTTATTATACTTAGATCTATGCAGAGGACACACAAACTGTTTCAAAGCCTCACAGAGTCTGTCTTCATTCTCAGTCTCGAGCTGCAGTCAAGACTCTGAAGCTTTCGTCCAAAAGAGTAAGTCTAATCTAACATCTTTTACAAAAATAAGTCTATTGTAAGCAGTAGCAGTAGCTCAGTTGGTAGAGCATTGGCCTTAAGCCCAGAAGGTCGTGGGTTCAATTCCCACCTCTGCACCTTCTCCACCGACTCCCACTGATGACTGCTGTCGTTGTGTCCTTGGGCAAGACACTTAACCCCACTTTGCCCAAAGCCCCCACTGAAAGATCAAGGCTATGCTCACACTCAGAGAGCAGCCGTCCTCCTGTGGACTCACCACCTGCAGAGGGTCAGTGAGGGGCTGGTGCTATGAGACTTGGGTGGCATCTCTGACTGCCACCCCCCTGACCCAGAAATGGATTAAAGGGTAGAAAATGGATGGATGGATGAAAGTCTATTGTCATGTTTTCTCTATTCAATATTTGAACCACGTCACAGAGAAATTTCAAGAGACATCAATATATGTCGACTGTCCTAACCTTTAATCATGATATGAGATATGAAAAAATGTGGCGTCCTTAGCTTGGTTGTGTCCTGGTTGTTCTTCGGTTCCGATCCTGTTCCAGACATAAGCCATCATTGTTGGTCGAGTGGTCAGGACTACAGCCGTTTATCGATCAATCGCAAATACCCTATAGTCAGAACCATGGACCCACATTGACATGTCTGTGGTGATTGCTGCTGTTGTGTCCTTGGGCAAGACACCAAACCTGCTCCTTCAAATATGTTTACTATGTACTGTGAATGGCTCCTTGGTGTAAAAAGCTTTGAGTGCCTTGGTTCATATGGTACCAACATATGACAGGTACTTTGGTACGAGGCCATGGAGAGACTTGTTACAACCAGAGCTGTTTTAAAGTCTATTCTCTGAGCCTCAGGAAACCAGTGCAGAGACCTGAGAACTGGACTAATGTGGTCGTACTTCCTGGTTCTAGTCAGGACTCAAACTGCAGCAGTCCAAACCCACATTATTCCATTTTTGCAGCACACATGTGAAATATATGTGTTCACTATCATGTACCACTGTGAGTGTTTTGCTAAACTGACTGACACGGCCCCCTGCGTTCCTATAGCAACAGCTGTACGTGTCGTCGGACGCGGGGCTGACACAGGTGTCTCTGCACCGCTGTGGCGTGTACGGCCGGGCCTGCTCCGACTGCTGCCTGGCCCGGGACCCCTACTGCGCCTGGGACGGGGAGAGCTGCTCCGCGTTCACCCCGTCCACAAAGAGGTCAGGCTCTCATGTCCGATCTGCTTTTTAGGTCAATGTGTTCCAGATCGCACTCATGTGTTTGTTTTCTCAGGAGGAGCAGAAGGCAGGATGTGAAACACGGGGATCCGCTGAGGCAATGCAGGGGGTTCAATGCTAAAGGTGAGGCGCAAAGACCGGGCATTTCTGTGGTCATGAATCAATGCTTATCTCTGTCTTTGGATATGAAATAGCATTGTTTTTCCACTGAGTTTCTCCTTGTCGAAGCAGGAGGTCTAAGGACAGTGATGATCTGGGATATTTAGGGACATTTATGAACATGTATGAACATTTATGGACATTTAGAGATATTTATGGACATTTATGAACATTTAGGGACATTTATGGACATTTAGAGATATTTATGGACATTTATGAACATTTAGGGACATTTATGGACATTTATGAACATTTAGGGACATTTGGGGATATTTAGAGATATTTATGGACATTTATAAACTTTTAGGGAGAGGGGTCATTCCAGTCTCTATGGATGTGTTTGTTATCATAGCATTTCTTGTGTTAAAACCGTCTCTGATCTGTTGTTTGCAAATCAACAACTTTGTAAAGTCCTTCGAGTCGACTGCTGTTGGGACTTACATTGGACAATTGTAGTTTGAATTCACAGCAACAAAAACATGTTACTTTATAAAAACCAAGGAACAGCAATCGGATCAGTATGAAGCAGAAGGTAGTATTGTGTTATATCGAGCTTACAGATTTTCTTTTACTGTTGGAAAGTCTAATGACAAATTAGGCCTTTGCGCATGAGCTGGAGAGGAGCATTAGCTACTTACACCCAATCCAGATACTATAACAGATTTATGTCATACATTTGTCTGTCTGCACAATAAAAAAACACTAATGCGATTAGGAAAACACACAATTCCAGCTCTTTTGCTTCTTAACCTGAGAATTATTTTTTAATTGGGACCATGTTTTGCAGGAACAAGGTAGAGGATCTGACCACATACTTGTCCTGTTAGAGAAAGTGAAGCTGAAGGACCTGAGTTGTGTCTTGCAGATGTGTGCGGAGGTGTAATTGGTGGTGGAGGTCTTTGTCAGTGCCTTCTGTTATTGCACAGACAACGTCACTGCACAGTCACAGCTGAGAGTTGTTTTGACAGAAATCAGATTGTTCTATTCTCTCTATAAAATAGGAGCGACAAGGTTTCACAGTTGCAGAAAACTTTCCTCTTGGCCTCACTCTCAGTCAGGCTTGGGTTGGTCTGTTCTTTAGTTGCAGGGAGACCAGATAATACCCTGGCTTTAATATAGCAAATCATAAACCTATTTAAAGCCGCAAGAGGCGATAAAAACCCTCGCGTTCCCTTGCCCTGGACTCTCACCCTTTATTGTTGTCTCATATCTATCTCTGGTGTTGTTTGCGTTCTCCTAAATATGCACGTCCGGTTTCCGATACGGGACCACTGCGAGTCAGTGTGTGTCAGATGTCGGTTCAAACTTTTGCATAGTCAAATTTGGAACTAGAACCTCAGCTCTTATGATTAGCTGAGGATTTTATAATCACTGAAACCAGTTTGACATAGTTTAGACAGAGTTTGGCCTCATTCAGACTGCAGAAGAGTTGATTCACACTGTCCGTGACTGTAGGAGAAGTGCCTTTGCTGAGTAGTAGTAGTAGTAGTAGTAGTAGTAGTAGTAGTAGTAGTAGTAGTAGTAGTAGTAGTAGTAGTAGTAGTAGTAGTAGTAGTAGTAGTAGTAGTAGTATTTTTATTTGAACAGTTTTACAATGTATTTATATTTTTTTACAGGCACATATACTTCAATAAAAAAAGAAAGCTCAAAAAGATAGTCATTGGCGGGAAAGCCAGTATCAATCGGCTGCTAAAATATTTTTTTAATTTTCACATTCCGTCACGGATTTTTACCATAAACATTTTTATCTTGTTAATGCAAACGAAAAAACAGCAATACTTCATCGCAATAATAAATGTAACATGTTTTTAACGTGTGCTGCATTGAGAGCTGGAGTCAGCCCCCTCTGTGTCTCCAAAGGGGTCTAAACCAAGACTGGGCTTTGAGTCTGAGTCAGGTTAGGACCAGGACTAAACTGGGACAGCCTATTCTATTCACGTAGGCAACAGATCCCACTGATAACACCTCGATCGGTGTAGTAAAACATGATAAATATTGTTTTGTTTGTATGGATGGATGTGTTTCTGCTGCTAAACCTAAATCAAGATCAATAAAGTATCTATCTTACTATTGATCAATCTAAAGTGTCTGTTTTAATGCATTTTGGTGCTGAATATGCTGTGCTTCCCGAAGTTACAGACAAAAAAATACATAGTTTCAGAGCAGCTGCACTATTCATTTGGCATTTACCATCTGATAAACTGTCCATGTTTGAATGGAACCTTATATCTTTGAATATAAAGTTAAATTTTTTTGTGTTGCAGTGGAAAAGCGCCTTAAGGAGACAGTGCAGTTTGGGGTGGAGGGCAGCAGCACCTTCCTGGAGTGTCAGCCCCGTTCCCCACAGGCCTCGGTCAAGTGGCTTTTCCAACGGGAAGGAAAAAGGAAACTGGTGAGAAATAACACTGACATTCACATTCGTTTACATATTGAAATCTTGCCCTTTATTTCCAAAAAATGATTAATACTGCTTTACCTGCAGCTCAACCGACTGGGGGGAGTTCTAAAGACCAACCACGGAATCCTGTTGAAATTTCTCAACCAATCAGACGCAGGGGTGTACCACTGCCTGGCCACGGAGAATAACTTCAAGCACACAGTGGCTCGCGTGGCCCTGCGGATCCTGGACCGCGACATCGTCTTGGCTCTGACGGGGCAGGACGAGGACGACGAAAGGCCCAAGATGCGTCACCCGCCTCCCCACGCGCACCAGCCCCTCTCGACCACGCCCTTCCCCCCAGAGATCAGACTCATAAACCAGTACTGCCAGTCGTATTGGGAGCAGCTCAGCCCTAAGCAGCAGCAGAGGAGGCGCACCAGTCGAAGGCACACGGAAGGCCAGGATCAGGGCTTGGGCTAGTTCAGAGTTTAGGGCCGTGTCCGAAGCACGTTGGACTGAGATGGACCCGCGCATGCACATGGCTAGGGATGGGACGATAATTGGCATGGTCGAGATTTAACTGGTAAAAGTCACTGAAGATGTTTTACTGCACAAAAACCTGAATTCGTACGTTGACTTGGCTCGGCTCATTTTGCAGGTAAGAAAAAAGCAGGCCCCCCACAAGGAAAGTTGAGTAGCACTTCTAAAGCTGGGGTACCAAATTTTCAAACACCAAAAAAGAGATTAATAATAATAATAATGCATCGGTTTTATAAAGCGCTTTACAGGACACTCAAAGATGCTTCACATGTCATTCTTCTTTCACTCCATACACTACAACTGTAGCCACAGCTGCCCTGGGGCACACTGACAGAAGCAAGGCCATTCACACACACACCAGACTCATTCTAAGCTATGTGGGTGAAGTGTCTTGCCTAAGGACACAACAACAGTTTGACACTTTACAGCCGCAGCCGCCCCACTGTGGCACCTGGTGTTCCCAGAGGTCTCCCATCACAGTATTAACCAGGCCCTGCCCTGCACAGCTTCCAAGGCCTGACATGATCTGTCTTTTGCATGCAAGTATGGCCAGTAAATATGTAATAACATCCATCTAAATACATGCATCCAATTCTGAATGGTCCTTGGTTCTATCACTATTTTTTTATGTACTGTATATACTGTATTTTTGAACTCTGTCACAGCGTTTTCAGACCAAAAAATGAAAAAGAGAGAACCACCCTCGCTCAGCCAATCAGCAAACAGTGTCTCACAGGGTTCTTTCTAACAAGTTTAGCAAAAGATAACAAAAAAGATTAAAACAGCATGTTGTGGTCGTCTTTATTCACAAACATGTACTCTCTCAGTACTTTTTATATTGGGACAAACAGCCGGTATTCTTTATGAAACAAAAAAGTTAGGTACCCCAGCTTTAACAGATGTAATATCATCGTTCGCGAGAAGAGCAGAAATAAAACAGCTCGAAAAGTATCATATTAAGTCATTTTTTTGAGTCATAATTCATGCCTCAAACAGTATCTTTCAGTTCACGTATGTCTCTATAGAGTTTTAGCTCGATCTGTTTCTGCTAGACATGACAAAAGAGCAATAAGCACTTTTTTATTATTGATGATTGAGAAGTGTTTTTTAGTTAGCATGATAAATGGTCCCATCCCTACTCATGTCTGACCTCGGCCCCAAAGGTGAACCCCTGCCCTCATGCTGTCCATAGAGTACTGTCTGTGGTTTTATATGTGTCAGATCTATCCAAAATAATATATGTAAAGATTTGTATATTTGATTTTTACCTCTACTTTGTGTTGTTTTGCTGGTAAGCTTTTTGACAGAATTAACGCATGGTTATGCATGAGACTCAGATCCACATCACTGGTGGTAGCTTTGGTCTTACACTGCAAAAGATATTGATGCCCTCCCAGACAAAATAAAAAATAATCAAATGCATCCTTCCTAACATTCCTTAATCCTACTGTTAATATTCATATATACATTATTCTTAGCTGATAATCCTTCTCAGTATACGTATATATTTTGGCCACCCCAGTATACAGTGATGAATACATCCTGCAATAGCGACAGTTTTAAACGTAAAACGAGAAGTTGTGTTTTGTTAGCTGACTGCCTCGTCTTGCTCAGGCCCCTGACCTACATCCTTCTTGTTTATTGAACTGTTTCCCCTATAGGCATTCCAACACCCAACCTCTTGCTGAGCATAACAAATTATTTCAAAAACTAAAAATAATTTGCTTAGTCCCTCCGTTTTTACACTTTTTGGATCACCCTCTGTGCTAATATTAAAGGTGATGTCAACAACAACTTAATTAGTATTTCATTTTTAAAAGAATGTATATTTCTGACCATGGGACACTGTACTATTATGTGTAGTATATAGTTTTCAACAATAATATGTTTATAATCACCCATCCCCTTTGGCAGAACTACTCCCAGTAACATTTGCTGGAGGAGAACAGTTGAACCAATGACAAGAGGCCTCAAGGATTTGAATTCCTTCCGACCAATCAGGAGGCTGTGGGAGTGAGCATGGGCGGGTCTAACCAGCGCTTAAAAAAGTTCAATTCTATTTTCACAATTTGTAAAGTAACTGACATCCACTTTAACATAATTGTGTTCATATAATTGTCTCATTTTGGCAAACAACATACAAAAGCTTAGAATAAAAGTCAGTTTAAGCCTAACCCTTGAAAACAGCTGAAAAAACATGTTCATCTGTTTGCACCAAAGTCTGCACTTGTGAAAAACTTCCCCAACTGTTGAATTCACATCCTGATCTTTTTGCAGTGTAAGCAGCTATCAGCGACTCAAACTGACTAGACTTGTGTCAGCACATCCGACAACTAAACACCAACTAAACACTCAGCTAAAAAAGGAAAAGACATTTTTGTACAGAAACGGGATCATGTGTTTGTGTGTCATTCTGGTGGTTCTTGTGCTCATGTTTTAGAATAGCAACCGGTCGCACTTTACTTCCCGCCGCAGAAACATGGTCATTCTGTAGAAGCGAAGGATGGTCGAATAAAGGCATTTTAGAAACCGGATTATTACCAAGAAAATATCAACAAACTCTGCAGGTCATGTCTAGTTCATTCTGAAATCTGCCTTGGAATAGATTTATCCTTTCTCTCATCATTATCAAACAACAACCATTATTATAAAGTCTTTCGATCATGTTTTAATAACGTTGAACTTTGATAACGTGAAACAATTGAGGCTTTATTTTTGGAGGACAAAAAAATCACCATCACAATTTTAACTGTGGGGAAAAAGTAAACAAAAATATGTTGAAAATTACAAAAATCACATTAGTTTGATGAAGCACAGCGCTCATTCGACTTTTTATACTTGAATCTCATAAAAAGTCGAATGTATGAAATGACAATGACCTTCATACAATAGTAAGACTTTTTTTCTAACCTTTTTATATCTATCTCACAAAATAATCAGCCCAATCGTTTATTTATACTGACAACAAAAATGTGGACAGTTTTTATTCCACGTGGATTGGCGCAGAAATGAGAGAAATTGGCTCTTAACCCTTTAGACGCCAGAGGTTTTTCCCCAAGAGGCCCATTTTTGACATCTCTATATCGTAATAACTAAAAAGTGATAAAAGATAGAGGCGTTATGTAGATTAGAGAAATTATAAGGATTGCCCAAAGTTTATGTAGGAATTAAATGTACCCATCTAATATTGTGACTTCATGTGGTTTACTGACACACACAGAGCACTAGGATATAAAACACAAACAGAACTCATATTGTACCACACTCAATGGTCAAGGAAATAGTAAAACAGTGCAAAAACAAAAACGTGTAGCGGGGAGTTTGAATGAATTTTAACACAAATGGCCGTTTATACAGGACCACACTTTCACATTGACCACTTAAGTCAACGTGGCGCCTAGAGGGTTAACTAAGACTGGAAATCTGACTTGTTTGACAGTAACCATACTCAAGATACTACTGCCAGAAAATGTAAAAAAAAAAAACGCTTTTACTGTATTAATTCAACAACAATTACTCTTTCATTTTTAGACAATAACACATTTTGTCTTATAGTAATAGTTGCACCTGTAGTTTTTTTTTTTAACTGTTATTATAAAAAGGATTGTCAAACTTAATAACATAATAATCTGGTATAATTCACAATAGACTCCGATGACTGTGTCACTGTGCTGTCGGGTAAAGTGTCCCCTGTCGGGTCGTTACGGAGAGGCAGGTCTGGGATTATTCAAACTAAATGTAATATATTAACTGCTCCTGTAAAGTGGTGATGTTTTTCACTGTGTTAGAAAATAGTCTGAGAAATAATGCTGCATGCTAATATGTTGCAAGTTGTACATTTTCTGTCTCGCGATGGTGTTTTGTACCGTTCTGAAGAGAATTCCATTGGATGTTGTCATAATATTAAACCACGGTGAGTTTAAAACTTCTTCCCGTTACGCACTTTTACTGGTGGTGGATTTTATTTTTTGGTTTTTTTTGAGGGAACCTGGGGAGTTTTGCACACGCAGCGGAGAAATCAAATCAATATAGGAACTTTATTTCTCTTTTTGTTTGTATAATGTGTTTGTAAAACCCCGAAACTGGTTCCGGGTGTCGTCGTCATTGTTGTGTCTTGTTGTGCTGTATTTGCAGACATAAAAGTTCTTGGTTCTTGGAGTTCTTGTCCTGCTAAATAAATCCTACACTGGAGAAACTAATACATAAACATTTGTTCTCAAAGAGCAGGCCTTAGTTTGTCCATTTATTTATAATCTTTGTCACACACAGAGCAAAGAGAGCCACACTCCCATGAACTGTAAATGTGCTGTATGTGAGGCTCACTCGTCCCATTCGTCATCATCGTCATCTTCGTCTGCAATATCTTCACTTTCATCTGAAAACAGGGGAAATATAGTTGTTTTGATATAATACTGTACATTTCAATATAATAGTTTGATGCAGTTTGTAGTTCCTGATGAGAGAGAGTGGAGCCAGAAGTAAAAATCCATGTTCAAAATCCCCAAAGGGATTCAAAAAGATTGAAAATGTGATGAATGACCTGAGGAGTATTAACCACAAAACTGCAAAGTGCTAGACACGTTTTAATGTTTTAATTATGCTTTTTGGGCTGAAAGCAACAAGTGTGTGGTGGATAGTAGAAACCAGATCACGAGTTAGCCTCCGTCGTGTTGTCAAAATGTCCTTTTTTTGTAACTTTTGGATTTTGAATGGAGATTTTTGCGTCCAGAATCTGACAGTTCAGCACTTTGCAGTTTGTTCAGGCAGGAGTTTGGATTTGGTTTTTTAATTACACTTATTTAACGAGTCCCTCTCTCAAAAAACAGTTTCAATCGCAGGTTTTCACATGCATGTATTTTTGGCCTCTGTCTCATATTTAGATTTTAAGACAGAAAAGGGAAAAGAGAGGACCACCCTCACTCAGCCAATCAGCCACTAGATGGGAGTGTTTTCCTATCCTGCCCGTAGAATATTTAGTATATAATTATTTCCTTAGCTTGTTTTGCTTTTTAAAACACGATAATTATAAATGAAGTACTGTTCTTATATTTGTTCAGCTGAATATGGCGTGCTGGAGGCCCTTGGAGGCTCCTTGTCTCATGACACTCACCTGAAGAGTGGATGACTTTGCTCCTCTTCTGCATGGCCATCATCAGAGCCCCCACGATGCCCTCCCCTGACTCAGGCGGCGTGGGCGGAGCTTGGTCTATATCTGTCACCTACAAGCAGAAGACACATAACATTTAAAAAGTTCATTAATAAGTAAAAGAAAATGATCTAATATTGTTGGTGATCATACAACATCACATCTTTCTACAGCTGTAAATGCTGAGCTGTTTGTGGAATAGGCAAAGACGTTTAATACTTTTAATTTGCCCCAAAAAGGTAGTAGATATAGTGACTCAAAAGGCGATCTACCAAATGCTTAAGGAAATTATCAAAGGGTTAACAGATCAGATTTAATGATCTCTCAATGTCTAAAATTCTCCTCCAAAGTCTGAACATCAGGGGAAAAAACCCTCCTAGGTGCTTACATTATCATAGTAACTTTATATTGTTTCGGACACATATCCACAATATTAAATCCACAATGCATCTTCCATTTTCTAATTGTTGTTTGGAAATAAGTTCATACACTTTAGGCGCCAAAGATGTATCTATCACACGTTTTTTCTTACATATTTTTCTCATATCATTTTTTCTCGCATTTGTCATAGTGATCCTCTAACTCTTATAAAGTCTCAGGGCTCCAATTGCTCAGCTCCAACTGCTACGGGGTTAAGGAGACAGTGAAAATATTCTCAAATCTATTTGTGGAAGTATATGTTTTGTCATTTATAAATTCTATCAATACATTCATATACAAAGACATATAATTACATTTCTGAGCTTCTTCCCGCCTCTGATCTGGTCCAACAGCGCTCCTCTGCTGTCCCCGCTGCAGGAGGAGGTATGGGCCGGTTTAGGGGCACCTCCACAGGGCAGGGGCGGAGGAGGCGGTCCATCCAGGGAACAGGGCAACATGGGAGGCGGAGGAGGAGGCGGAGGAGGAGGAGGAGGTCCGGCAGCTGTGTGGGGGACAGAGGGAACCCCGAGAGGGCGACTGCTAGAGGGAGGAGGAGGTGGAGGGGGACTTTGCAGTCTACTGGAGGGAGGGGGAGGACGGGGGACAGCGGCACGGGCTGGGGGGTGGTGCGGCTGTGGAGGAGGAGGTACAGGGCCGCGGCTGTGATGGGGAGTAGGCGGCAGAGGGGACACGCTGCCTCTGGACTGTCCAGGGAGCAGCGGCAGGGGTCCAGAGCGGCCGCGAGAAGGGGGCGGAGCCGGCGCACCTGAGGGAGGGATGGGGGGGAGGGGTCCCTGTCGGCCGGTGGGAGGAGGCGGAGGGCCACTACCTGTAGGATAGATTCAGGGAGCTGTGAATTCAATGTATATTTATATTTGTACATCCCTAAATCACAACATCAGTCATCTCAGGAGAACTTTAAAGTTGTTAATTCCTCAACAACAGATTAGAGACTCAAACAGGAAATGCCGTAATAACAAACACAACAAACACCTCCCTGGTCCATATAGGGAGGGTTTGGCAAAATGACCACTGTCCTTAACTTAACAAATGTCCTGGATCATCACTGTCCTTAAATCCTCCTGTATCGGCAAGGAACAACTCAACAAAGAAAATGGAGAGGGAAAGTGAGAAACTTTGTGGGAGCTCCTTTTGATAGAGGGATCCGCTCCCACAGACAGACAATATAGATCCAATGCTCTGTATCTATAATCCATAACTGTTTGAAAGTTTACCATTTATGGAAAATTGCTGTAACTCAGATGAGCATTTACAGAAAATAAACTGGACAAATTGTTTGTGGACAGTGGTCGTCCCGCTCCCTGTGGACCAACGGCTCCTATGTGTTTGTTATTGCATTTCCTATATTAAAAAAGTTTTATTCTCTGATCTGTTGTTAGTGAATCCAAAACTTCAAAAATTGATTGCCGATGTGATGTAAGGCTAAACAAAAAAAATAGGAAATTTGCAGCAAGGTTAAATATTGAGACAACAGTAAGTGGCAGCCACAGTATTTATGACACTGTGTTTCTACAGTTTCTTGAGTCTCAGCAGCAGCGATACCTTTGTTGATCTCTCTCTTGACGGCCTCCAGTCCACCCGACTGCTCGATGACGTCATAGATGAGCTGAGACGTGTGCTCGTCTTTCATGTCAGCCTCCTGGATCCCGGCCTGGGACAGCAGCTTCACCAGGTCTGGGTCCAGGTTGTTTGGGTCCCAGCCCACGTGACTCACGTGCCTGCAAGTGTTTCAATGTGAGGAATACTCTTGGGTCATGGTCACACTTTGATCTTATGAAGGTATAACATATACTAGGGAATAAGGGGTGCCAGATGCCAAAAGATACAGAGTAGAATTGTTTACCAATTGAATTGAAACAAAAATAGCTTTTCATTGTAAAGAATATCCTAAATCTTTTTAACATTTTTTTCCAAAATTATTAGAAACACTCACAAGTCCAAGGAAGAAACCAAAACCAAATATATAATATTATGTTTATATATTATATATAGAAAAAAGGTCTTTTGTAACTCGGTGTTCTACCCAATGGGGATATATATATTTAATGTGTGTTCCAAAATGACCCTTTTTCATATATTTGTAAGTAAGTAAGTAATGTTTATTTATATACCGCCTTTTCACTGCACATCGGAGTCTCAAAGCGGTTTACAAATTGTGAATTTTGCTAGTGGGGGTTCCAGTAGTACATATTTTTAGTGGTAGGGGAAACCGGAGCACCCGGAGGAAACCTACGCAGACACGGGGAGAACATGCAAACTCCACTCAGAAAGGCCCTGGTCCAACCGGGATTCGAACCCAGGACCTTCTTGCTGAGAGGCGAGAGTGCTATCCACTCAGCCACCGTGCCGCCCATATTTGGTGACATCATAGAAAGGCATAGTCAGGGTTATTCAACTTAATTATTCAGAGGGCCATGGTCTTTAGGCTGTGTAAATGCTGTGCAGCATTTGGCAGCATTTATTGTTTGATTTTTTTTCATCTACACCAAAACTAAGCCTAAACTGGGACGAAATGAGTAAACAGTAAATATTGTTGTGTTTAGGAGGTGGCTGGTGGGTGGGGCAGCTTGTTTGGAGGACCAGAAGTTGAATCTTACTTGAATCCACTTGGAGCGCCGATGTCTGCCTTGGACAGCTTTGGTCCTTTCTTTTTGCTCTTTTTGTCCCTCTTGCCCTTGGACAGGGACGAGATGGGGGACGAGATGGAACGGTAGCGAGACGACTGGATGTCTGGGTTCTGGATGTCCACTGTGGTCATGTGGAGCCCTGGACGTACGTAAGGCAGTGTGTGTGGCAGACTATACTCTTTTTACTTTGTTTCTTGAAATGTGAAATATAAGGATCACTGGTCTACTTTATAAAATGCACTAAAGTAAAAAAGCAAAGCAACTTAATTTAACTGAATGTAGGCTTAAAAATATGAGTTTATTTGTATATTGGTTCAAATGGGATTAATTATAATTGCAATTTTCCACATATTTTTCAACTTTATATTAATTAATCAACCAATCTTTATTCGTAGAGCGCTTTTACTACACTAGGTAACAAAGTGATTCAGCCCCATCACATGAGGTGTAAATTATAAACATTCAAAATAAGCCTATATACCTAACCTAATAACCTAATTTAGACTTATTTATTTGCATTTTTGTCATTATTTATGTATTGATTAATATCACTGTTTATTTAGGTCTGTAATAGGGACAATGAATACTCTGCATAGATATCCGCATGAACAAATATACATTTACATTTGCGGGATCATAGATGCAAGATTATTAACAGGAATAAAAAAAGAATAAGCAGAATAAGCATTCGATTTTAAACTATCCTAATCATCACCATCGGTTTAACCAGATTTATGCTTTGGCACAACAAAGGACGTGCAAAAGAAAGTATAATCTTTTCACATCTGGATATTTGTTTTACTGTCAAACACTAGTTACTTCTGTATTAGTTCATAAAAAGAGAAGAAAAAATAAAGTTACATACCTTTGTCATTTGGCACAGGAGGAAGAGTCCTGTCTGCTAAAAACACATTTATGTCATTTTATTTTGGAGCCAGTTTCACTTATTGATAATGAATGATGTTGTACTCACCACTGGACTGAGGAGGGCGCTGTTTCTTATCTGAGTTCAAATGAGCAAATGCAAATGTGATAATGGTGAATTTACGAACGCATTTATCTATGTTTATTCTGTACAAAAACCACCTTGTCTGTTGTTTCTCTGGTTAATTTTATCTGTGACAGCGTTTTGAAAAGCCTCTGCTTCCTGTTGATCTGCAAAATTTAAACCAACCTGACAGTCCTGACAGGGGCAAATGCAACAGTCAGTTAAATGGTTTTTGTTAAACAAACACATTTCTTTAGCAGTGTAAATACTCACGTCTGCAGCAAACGTATGAAAGAAAGACTGAGGTGATGAGTACTCGATCTGGTCGTAGAGTTCCTGCTCCCAAACCATTTTCCCCATCTGCTCAAAAACAATCATAAAGAATGAATTTCAGTTTTTAGATTGCAAGAAAAACTGTGACTGTAGAATCATATCAATAATTCAGCCCAGTTTGTGGCCCCATTCTTTGTATATATTTTTATTTTTAAATTAACCCAACATTATAATAATGATAATAATAATAATTAAAGCCGCAAGCGGCGTCGAACGGCCCTCGCCGCACCGCACGCACCACCCCATACCGCGCGCACCAAGCCGTCCCGCACCAAGCCGTCCCGCACCAAGCCGTCCCAAATTAAGCCGTCCCGCACCAAGCCGTCCCGCACCAAGCCGTCCCGAATTAAGCCGCCCCGCATCAAGCCGCCCCGCATCAAGCCGCCCCGCACCACACAGCCCCGCACCAAGCGGATCTGCACCACGCCGCCCCGCACCAAGCCGCACCAAGCCGCAACGCGCCGCTCCACAACGCCCCGCACTATGCCGCACCACACCGTACCACGCAGCTCCGTGCAAAGGAGGTGGCGCCGCCGTGTGATGATTTGTTGCTGTTGCCATAGAAGAATGTTAGTCAAATTGTAATGAATATGATGATTAGAGCTGTTTGGCACCCCATGTAAAACTTTGCCTCAATCTGTAGGGGGCGCTAATGAGCCGATTTCAAATATTTCACTTTCACCTGACCTAAACCCTGGAGTTGAACAATGGATTCAAGTTTAATGCAAATCAGACTTTGTTTGTGCAAATGGGAGCAAAATTTATGTTGTGAAAAACGGCCAAAAAACACTCACATGTTGCCGCTCCGCTGCTCAAACAACGTTTCACTGATCAAAATTCCCTTTGGTCATTTTGAAGGTAAATGTGTTGAGATGATGTGGAGCAATTTTGAGGCCAATCGGTGAGACGGCCGAGGAGGAGTCGCTTTCCAACCGACATGTATGAAAATTATTGCGGATCATTTTTCCATTTTGCAGTGAAATTTATGGGCCTCCTGTTTGTCAGAGGGCGGAGCCATGATAACATTTCGGTCGTATCTTGACTTGAGGAACATGTGTACCGAATTTTATGGCTCTACGACAAACTTGACCTCTGAAACTCCAATTGGCTGTTGTAGGTGGCGCTGTTCTGGCATTTTTTGAGTCCCATAAAAATAAACACCAAAATATCAAATTTTTCACCAGGTGTGATGTTTGGGCCAAAATTGTACAACTTTTCATGCATGTTCAGGGGGTGAAATTAAGGCTCAAAGTGCAGAATTTGACATCTCTCGAGCAAAAACAATAGGCCCTTTCCCCGTTCGGGGCTCGGGCCTAATAATAATGCATCAGTTTTATATAGCGCTTTTTGGACACTCAAAGACGCTTCAATATTATTCTTTTTCTGCATAAATGGTGGTGATAAACTACTATTGTAGCCACAGCTGCCCTGGGGCAGACTGACAGAAGCGAGGCAACCTGTATGTGCCATTGGCCCCTCAAACCATGACCAATAAATATATAACTTTTGAATAAGGCTTGCGCTGTGTCAGAGATACCTTCATGTCGAACATACGGATGAAGTATGAGCGCTGGGGGTTGTCTTTGACGAAGCAGAGCGCTCCGCTGTGCTGCAGGCTCCAGGCCGTGGGGCTGTGCGGCAGCGCCATGAAGAGCTGCGCCACTGCGGTCGCTATGGACTGAACACAGCACAGGAGTCAGATTCAACACTGAGTCTGCAACAAAGCAACATTAGGACTACAAGATTTCTGAAACTACTAGAACTTCCAGAGGAGACAGCTCCTAATCAAATCATTCTGAAATAAATCTCATGAGCAGTTTTCATTACTTTTATTAACCTTTTAAGGATCACCCTCCCTATACAGGGAGGATTCAGATATTTTTCATTTAACAGCATCAGTATTAGAATTCACTTGTGTCAATATAGTCAAGCTAGTCTAGTCAAAAGTCTAGTCTTGCTCCAAACTTGCTCTGCCAAATAGTGAGGCAGAATGAAACGTTAGGGCATGGGTCACTATTTGGCAAAGCAATTTTGGTTGTTGAAGTCATTACACTTCCAAAACCAAAAGCCGCCAAACTGACGGCTCTGAAAGTTACGGCTCTGAAAGTTACAGTGTTCTCCTGAACCGTGTTTTAGTCCTTGATGTGTCAGTTTTGTGTACACAGCTGCCACTTCCTTATTCACTCAGATACAACAGGTTCAGGTTCTCAGAATGGCCGTAGAGGATGTTTGGCTAAAAATAATGCATTCTTCTTTTAGCAGAGCGCAGTGACAGCAGATACTAGAGTCCACAGCCACTGCTCTGTCGGCTCACAGGGGAAGAGATGGTGCACCCACGGCTTCCGGTTTAAGATAACTCCTGTTTCATGGCATCAAGTATGAAAGACACATTCTACAAACAGCCAATTAAAACAACAACAGTTAACTTATCTTGTTTTTAGTTTTGTATCTAATTTTTTTTTTTTTTTTTGCACCAACTGATGTAATTTGGAAATTCTGAGCTCATTCCGAGTCAAGCCCACCAATATCTGTTTAACAAATTAAACTGTGTATCTAACCAATCCGTTTTTAGAATTAGATATGTCAATTTCTCCAAGTGGAAACAGACATATCTTAGAGAGATATAGCGCTAATCTCCACTGCCTCTAAATCTCTACCTCTTAAATCTCTGGACCAGTCTGATTTGATTATTGACTAAACTATGTGCAAAAGGACACTACAGAATGTGTTTTTACCATTTGACAAGTCAATAAAAAAGGGGGAAGTTATAGTGTAATTTCCTGTTCAAATCTAGAAAACATTTGTTCATATGTGATTCTACAGAGAAGTGCAGCTTCCATGAATATGCAGCGAGTCTATGATTTTTACAGACACATATAATTAAAGGGAAAATAATCACAATTGGTCAGACATGTTGCATCGGATTTGCATTGGTTTATACATTGGACACTCAAAGATGCTTCACATGTCATTATTCTTTCACTTCTTACAAAGTGGTGATAAACTACTAGTGTTGCCACAGCTGCCCTGGGGCACACTGAGGGAAGGCATATTGGACAAATAAAATTGTGTCTTGAAAAAAAAACAACGAACATGTCTCTTGGTCTGAAAGCAGGTTCCTAACATGTTTTAGGGGTTCGTCATCTCAAGGGGACACTCACACACACACACACACACACACACACACACACACACGAGAGTCTTAACGCACACAGAGAGGCCTGGTATGGCGATGAACATTGACATTGCTGCTGTGTGATGGACTACATGTGTAACTTAGTGCTCCTGCTGCAACTTGGAACAATGCATCTCTCCTTTTGGCAACTGTTTATTGTACACTGTCCCTGTATTAATAAAAACCATACCATACTGCAATGTATGTTTGGAATTCAGAATCAGAATGGTTTGTATTACTATAGTAAGTAACAAACTAGGAGTTTGCTTTGGCCTAAGTTGTAAGAGTAAAGAGTAAAAAATCTTCATAACATGTGTTAAAATGACTATATCCAGTGCAGCAAGTCCACACAACAGACATGTGGCAGTGGCAGTGGTGTGAGGTGAGCGTCGCTGTGTTCATGGAACGTAAACATACTGTAGCTGTGAATGTGGCTCCAAAGACAAAGTTTCAGGCAAACACAACAGTAGAAATTATTACATGTTTTAAAAATCAAAATGTTGCTCTGAAAACTGACATTTTCAAAATCCCCTTCTGCAGCAAAACTGTGAACACAGGGTTGAGAAGACTCAGGCCTGTTTGCTCTATTGCTCTATCAGTCGTGTGCTCCTCATTCCTACTGTTCTGTAGCTTTATATGCAACACTGACATTTCCCCACTGTGGAACAGATAAAGCATCTCTTAATCTTAGTCTTGTCATTAACCTGAGAACCTGGCACATGAAATATGTTATTTTTATATAACAAAGTTCCCTGCAACAAAATGAAAACATTCTGCGTCATTTTGTAAAAAGTATGAACTTTCCTGATTTCTGCTGCATTTTAAAAATAGTGTTTACTTAAACAGAAGTGATGACTTCTCACTAAAACAAAAGTATTCAGCAGATTATGATAGAGCTGTGTCCCCACAGAGCAGCCCGACACAGGAGCAACAGTCTGATACTGTATATTGTGAGACTATTATAAAGAATAAATGAAATAATCCCAAACAGTATCTTGACTTTTTTCTTAAATATAAAACTGTTTCCTTTGGACAAAGACAAGCTGGGATACTTTATTCGTCCCAGTTAAATTTCAGTGTTGCATCACTAGTTACAGAACAGAATGAGGAGCACACAACACAAGATAAGTGAACAACTCTGTATTAAAATAAAATAAAATCTCTACCATCAGCATAGTAAAGAAGAAAGTCTAAAATCTTCAACATCAAAGAATCAAGTATAAAATCTCTGATGTGTATGTATAATATAAAATCTGGAGCAAGTACGTGCGTGCGTGCGTGGACTTACAGCACACCTCCTTCCCAGCAGCTCCTCCAGCCTCTCGTTCTCCTGTGCGCTCATCAGGCAGCTCCTCACACCCTCAGACTTCACTTTTGACTTGCGGCTCATCGCTCTTTACCTTAATCCGTTTTTACCAAACACACACATAGATACACTGCACTAAGCATTTAGAATGAGCGTCCGCCTCCTCCACCAGCTCTCACAACACTGCACTATTATAGGAAGTACCTCTTCTCAGTTTTGCACAAGCAGGAAGTGGACAACCACACTCCACAAGCCCCCACTTTCTTCTTTCTTTCTTTCAAATACAAAGAATCCACTTTTCAATCATCTGTTATGCTCTATTGAATCTCCTCCTGCAGACAAGCGACGCAACACTGCACGCATATTTACAAAGACTTTTATTGACAAATATTAATTTAAAATGTACAGGAAGAAGAACAACTTCACATATTTAAAAACAGATGGCATTATTACTACATCGTAAACACTGCAGGCTTTTCTAATTAGCTGTGGCTGATGCTAAACTTCACCCTCAGTGTAACATCTGTCTTTATGCAGCTCTTTGGTTCAACTGTGTGATTGAAATATCAAATTAAATTAAAATATAATTCTAAAAAAACAGACAGATTTTGTGTCCAAGTAACTTCACTGACCGTCTCTGACAGAAGCACCAATTTGATCGTATCATAAGGACCAGCTCTTTACAACATTGTGAGGTAATATGAACCAGTTATAAATAGTAAAAAAAAAAGACATTGACACATTATTTTTAATATTAAATAGCTTCAGTTATAAAACACTTATATTTAAGTTGTTCAGAATTTTCTATTGGTTTCTACTGAAAAAATTTAACATTATAGCTTTGCCTGCAACTGCTATCGCAAGCAGCCTAACTTTCTTCTGATTTTCATACTGTGTACTCTTAATAATTTAACAAATACTTTCAAAACAAGTTCTAATCATAATTTTAGCTATACACGCCCAAAATAATATAGAAGTTTCATTATAAAAATCAAACACGTAATAAACACATTTTTATACTGACAAAGTTGCACTGGGAACTGAACCATTTATGTCAAAGCTCCAAAACTTCTGCTGACTTTCTATTTGACTCATCTTCCTTCATAATAAACTCCTTAAAGGCCTCATTCAGTCATAACAGCCTGTTATACTCAGCCCTCTCCCCTCCTGTTACAGGACGTCCCGCCCTGGTTTTCACATTAAAATGGTTTTTGGTCCGTGCATATTCAAGCGTTCAGGTTAGTCTTTAGTCGGGCAGTGGTGGGAGAGAAATAATTTACGGCGAGGGAAAGCTTTGGTTGAGTTTTTTTTCTACTTATTTGTTTTTTGTGCTGCTAGTGTCCGCCTGCACTCCGGGATTCTCCAGTCACCCAGTCGATGATGATGAAGGACAGGCTCATAACCATGAAGACGAAGCCGAGGCCAGCGAAGCACGCCGCCTGGTGGGGAAAGCAGGGTATTACAACCAACAATAGGAGTTGAAGAGGATAATGTGAATGATAATTTTTTTTTAAATAAAGTGTGTGTATATATATATATATATATATATATATATATATATATATAATTATGCAGTTAAAAATGGAATAACAAAAACAGTTTTGTTATTCTTTCCATCTCCACAACAGGTCTGTTTAGCTGTGATACAGTGGGTGAAGATACAAGGATTGTATATTCAGTCTTTTTTATTTACTGTCATTATTCAAGATTTTAATGATGAATGATTTTATTCTCTTTTGTTAAGCACTTTGAGTTGCCTCGTGTATGAAATGTGCCATATAAATAAACTTGGCTATAAACTGGATAGTTTTCACCTGCCCTCTATCACATATCTCAGCATTTTCTGACAGAGGACTCATCTGTACAACAGAGGACTCATCCAATCAGCTCTCAGCCTCAGTTAGTGACTCACAGGGCTCTTTCTTACTCGTATGAAAAGATAGAGACAGCATGTTGTAGTCTGATTTCCCCCCCCAAATTCTTATTCTTTTTGTTTAAATTTGACGTTCTAATTTGATATCCAAACTTTATAGTAAGAAGGCCACTATAGACTTGTCGAGGACCTAAAAACATGCAACGTAAAACTGTGAAACTGTTTTGAGTGGATTTGGGCTTTTGGAGTTGTTCTAAATGTGACATATTAAAAAACTAATGACAGCATGTACCAATAACGATCCCAACAGCAAGGTACAGCATGACACTATGGTGGAGCTGAAGTTGGCTGGATGACACTGTGAAAGCACCTCAATGGTTTGTGTTGGGAGGTCTCAACACCTTTAAAGAACTGTGTCAAACATGTGGAAACGCAGAGGAGTCAAAGCGGCGCATCATGAAACCGTACCTGGATCTTTTGTCTCGACACCATGGGCTCCTGCTCTTCCGGAACAATACGGATGTAAAAGATTCCTGGAAGGATGAAGATGAGGCTCGGGGCAGAGGTTGCGCCTGAAATCAAATCAGGAGAGGGTCAAAACAGAGCAGTTTAAGGCTGTTGTCACCGGGGAGGGAAATAAAACACTGTAGTTATTTTGTGAGCTCAGAAAGCACAACATTAGAATAGTAAACAGATACAGGGCTTTCTTTCCTGCTGCTGTCAGACTGTACAATGAGAACAGCTGAGCCTGTACATGTCATACTGTAATCCTGTGTAATGCAATTTCAGAATGTCATTTTATCTACTTACCCTGCCCTATATGTACATAACTTTTCACTATATACTGTATACAGATATATATTGACATTTAAAATCTTTTTATTAGAATTTTCTGCACATATAGATTTTGAGGACGGTAAATAAATAAAGTCAGTATGTTTCTAGCATTCTCCTAAATCCTGACCTCTAATCCATTTTCCTCCCTTTCCTCTGCCGGGAGCAAGAAAAAAAAAAGATAAATAGTAATAAATCTAATAATAATAAGAACAATAATCTAAAAGAAAAATAAATACAAAAGTAATTTACACAAAAGGGAGTTACAATGAAATGAAATTATAATAGTAATAATAATTTATATAAATACTAAAAATACAAAAAATATAATAAATAAACAATAAATAAAAGGAATATAAAAAGGGAGTTACAATGATAAAACAAAATAAAAAAATAATAAAAAAAGAGTAAAAAAAAAAGATGATATTGACGTATTTACAGCTAGCTAAGAAACATAGCAGCTACTTACATTTGTATATTTAGCGTGCTCCCTGTGTACTACTGTCCTGTATGTGTGCTGCAACATTGAAATTTCCATACAGTCGGACAAATAAAGAATCTTTTATCTTATATTCCTGAATTCAAGCCTTTATTGATCTTATATAGTCCCCAAAGATACGTTTGCATGAGTACAAGCTTTTGTCAGAAAGTGTGTTTTGGTTTCACATATGGACCTGGCTACATCACTAAACGTCCAAACTCACCAATGATGCCAAAGATGTCCCGAATCGAGGGCACAAAGATAACGAGCAGGTTGACTATAAAGAGGAGGCAGAATGCGATGATAATGTGTCTGGCCCAGTGGAAGGGTTTCTCAGGGAACAGGATCTGCTGAATCGCCCTCCGGATCTGAGAGAAGACACCACAGCATCAGGACACCGTTCTGTTCACAAATGTTATCCCTGTTCATGTGTTGATTATAAAGCTCGTGTCAAACTCATGTTGGACGGGGCTTTGAGACAAACAGATCTTTTCTCAGAGTTTTTGAAGCTCATTTTCTGTATTTATTTATAATTCGAGAAGATTTTGGGCCAAAGGATTACAATAATACAACACAATACAATTCTTTTTAGGTAGATTTTTCAAACATAACATTATGCTAAGATTGAATTAAAAAAGGACAGAAAGTTCAAAAAAGGATTGATAGGGAAATTATTTTCTATAAATCATAAATGTTTGTTTTTTAATACTGTATTTTCTTGAGAAAACACATTTTTTATGTATTCATTTATTTGGTTGGGACAAAGTAGATTAATGCTGTAAATACACCAGATTGTAGATAAGAAAGTCTTATTTTCCATCTGTAGTACCTCAGTCGCACTCAAAAACATAAACTAATTTGCCTTCAAATTAGTTTTATGAATTTCTCCTTTCGAGTAACATTCTTTACACTGACGATCCTTCACTTACACAGAGCCATGTTAGATTCAGTTCCTACTCATGCATCAGGTCATAGCAGCGCTGCTCTCTCCTCATCTCTTACTCCATTGGTCATGTTTAAAATCACTCATATTATTTCCGAAAAAGCATATTCCACTTTATGTATAAACGCTGAAGGAAGAGGCTGCAGAAAGTGGTCTCAGCGTTTCCTCGGCCTTTAAAGGATACTGCAGAAGAGAAGAGTGTGACGTAAAACCTCTGGACAAAACTGGATCCTGATACAATGTTTGTGCTTTGTCTGAGCTGTTGTTTCGCTGAGCTCCCACAGCACCTGAGGCCTTGACATTATCGTCATGTGGAACAGATACCGGCCTCAAGCGTCAACTCAGACCTTGGAACCATTTTCTCAACACGTCTGCAGATAGAACACATCTCACAGCTTTGATACGAGTTTGTTTTTGTTTTAATTTTAGATGAAACTCAATGGTCATCTCGGGTTTCACCTATAAATCCACTAAGACCGGGTTTTGGCTTCTTAAATACGGAGAGGCTCAGAGGAACAAAGGCAGTATGTGATTAAAGGTTTAACGTTTAACTAGATAGATACTTTATTGATCCCGGTAGGAGAAATTCAGGTGTCCAGTAGCAGCAAAAATAAAAAATATGATTAATCATTCTAAAAAGTAAAAAATAGTATTAATCTGCAACAGCACTTCAGGTCACAGCAGAAGAGGTGGAGTAGCCTCTGGCTGGAGCAGGACGGGTCACAGCAGCAGAGGTGGTGTAGCATCTGGGTGGAGCAGGACAGGTCACAGTAGCAGAGGTGGAGTGGGACGGATCACAGTAGCAGAGGTGGTGTAGCCTCTGGGTGGAGCAGGACGGGTCACAGCAGCAGAGGTGGAGTAGCCTCTGGCTGGAGCAGGACAGGTCACAGTAGCAGAGGTGGTGTAGCCTCTGGGTGGAGGACAGGCAGTTGTGAGAGTTCTTTGTTGTCATTGATTGTTGTCATTGATTGTTGTAGGATCTGTATTCTACATGTGCACTCTCTCTTCATCTCACACTACGAGTATTTGTTTTGAAATTTATTATAATGACTTGAATTAAAAGCTTTTGTCTCTTTGATAAGTTTGTTGTTTCATTCAAAAGAAAAAACATTGTTTGAAAACTAGAGAGGTTCTAATCTGTTGACAGCTAGGAATTATTCAGACCACTTTTCAGAGACAGATGGACTGACAACCTGGTTTATAAAACTTTATAAGACTCTGAGCTGTAAGATATGGTATAACACGTCCATATTGATTCACATTTGACAATGCTGAAGTTGGCTGAATGACAAATGTTTAGATAGATTGGCGCCAAATATGCAAATAAATAAAAAAATAAATGTTGGAACAAGCAAACAAAGTCAATGAATAGATTAATAGAACTGTGGACATTCCTGATTTAGACTGTTCCATGGTTAACCCTTTAAGCGCCAATTCTGAAACTCACACCGAGAGAGGGTGGACTATTCAAATCTACAACAGATGCAAATAAGATAAAAAACATGTAAGAAAAGAAGTGAAATGTAGGTGTTAGGTCAGGGTGCTGTAGAAGTGTCCTGGATTTTAGAGTTGATGCTGAAATCGGCTACTTTGGCATCATAAGGGTTAATCTATGGTCAAGTTTCTTATAATTTTTCAGAAAATTTTAAGCAGTTAACATATACAGAATGTACTCTAGTCACAAATATCTTTTTTCCAGTGTGACTATAGCGTTCACTGGAACTGTCTACAATAGTGCCAGGACTTTCTTTTCGTACTACCCCTTCATTATTTATCCATTTGGACCCCCATTACCCTCCACAAGTGGTCGCTCATCTCTCTGTGGTCCACTCCACAAAGACTCACTTCTCATTAAAGTATTTCAAATAAAAAGCAATTACAAAAGAACCCAAAACCAAAACTGAATCACATTTTCACATCATCCTTCAACATTCATTCAAACATTGTTTTTATGATAAGGGGGTTTCAGTTTCTTACCGGAAACAGCACCACGGGGACGGTCAGAGTGACGGCCACGAGCACAGCCAGACGCACACAGAGGACCAGCACGTCCAGAGGATCCACATGGTTGTAGGTGTGGAGCAGCTCCGACTCCACGGCTCCTGCAGACAGGTTCCAACGCAATAATTATCAAAGTCATTTCACGGAGATGACTTTGAAATGATCATAAATTATAATGAGACTATTCTCTCATTTTATGTTTAAGAATGTGAAATAGTTATATATGATAATACCAAAATTATATATGGTGAAACATGAATCAAGGGTAATTCATTGTAATTAACCCCAGTGGGACATGTAGAATGTGTTTTTTTGTGTGTTTTTTTTACCAAATTAGAAAAATTGAAAATTACACGCTGCAAAACGAGATTCACGTGATTGAGAAAAACATTATTTCACTTCAAAAATTGGCAAAAATCACAGAACTGAGACAGGAGCTTTTAGACAGAGTTGCATGTTTGTGCCAGAAGTTACTGATGTCAGCCTGGAAGGATCTAAAAACAACTCCAGGTTTGTTTGTTGACGAGGGAAGAATGTGTAACATGGTTAAAAGATCGAAAAAGTTGATTTCTCTGAACATTGAGGACCTTTTTAAAACATTTTCTCCCTTTTCTTCTTTTTATTTCTCGTAATTTGAATGTTTTTTTTCCCCAAACACCTCATCCAGCAGCTACAGTCCAGTGATTCAGTGATCTCCAAATTAAAAGTATGAAAAGCCACTACTGCAGCAGCCAAAGCTACAGGGGAGCATTGTCCGCACAGTGTTTCCATGACGCACAAGGATCCAATTATCAGGTAATCTCGTCATGACAACAGAACTCCTCCGTACTTTTTATCACATTGAAAAATTATTATGTTGGTTTCCTACAATTGTTAATCACAGTTAATATTTTTAGCATGATTTCTTATTATGTCTTTTAAAATTGCTAATTGCTATTTAAAATATCTATCCATTTTTTTCTTCTAGTTCATCCATTGCCGGGTAAGGGCAGCTGTCTAAGCAGTCCCCCAGACTTCTATATAGCTCTGAGTGCAGACGCTGCTCCTTCTTCACAACAACAGTCCATACAGCTCTGACTGCAGCCGCTGCTCCCTCTTCACAACAGTTTGATACAGCTCTGACTGTAGACGCTGCTCCCTCTTCACAACAGTTTGATACAGCTCTGACTACAGACGCTGCTCCCTCTTCACAACAACAGTTTGATACAGCTCTGACTATAGACGCTGCTCCCTCTTCACAACAACAGTTTGATACAGCTCTGACTATAGACGCTGCTCCCTCTTCACAAAAACAGTCAATTCAGCGACCGTATCACTGCAAACGCTGCACCGATCTGTCTGTCAATCTCTTAATACTATAGTTGTATAATTATTGAAGAAGTATTTATATATGACGCAAATGAGGTTAAAGAAAGCGATACTAAAATGTAGAACTATAGAGACGTACCAAAAAATGTGAGGTAGCCGAAAATCGCTGTGAGAAGATACATGCCGAACATGGCCAGAATGGAGATGTTTGCGATCATCTGCATGCGTTTCTTGTTGGGCCTGAAGGGGAACAGAAAGATTTAACATTTAGTTTAGGGGCCACAGCAACAATACTGTCAACATTGTTGTAACAAAAATCATATAAAAAAACTTCTAAAATAAGCGGTGGAACCTACTTTCTTAGTTCAGTGTAGATGGGGAGGACCTCAGGGTGGCAGACAAAAGCAAATGCCAGGATTGGGATGGTATACGCCGTCTAAACATAAAGACAATGCAAATGTAATTAAAAAGTGTATAATTACTATTACAAAGAAGATTTATCATTTTATGAAGCACATTTCATTCATTACAGTCACTGAAAAGCAACGTGACTAATAAAAGATGACAACACGCATCTAAAATCTAAAGAAAAGAAAGTCTGAGCAAGGGAGTCTCTAGTTTAGTCAATGTCAAAAGCCGCGTTTCCACCGGAGGAGTTCCTGGTAAAAGGAGCGGGGTGGAACTTTTACAGGAACCTTCCTCTCCCTCGGTCCTCTCAGTGTCCGTGTCTCCACTGCAGTAGGACCACTCGGCGACGTCATGAGTTTCGATTGCCGCATAAGCAAAACTCATTACGCCAAACCCGTTATTATTATAGATCCATGCGGCAAACCCATTTGTTAATTTTACGTTCATGACCACTTTTCACAGCTTGCTTCGAGGTGAAGCTGATATGTCTAAATATCCATCCATCCATCCATCCATTTTCTTCCCCTTAATCCATTTCTGGGTCGGGGGGGTGGCAGTCAGAGCTGCACCCAGTCACAGAGCACCAGCCCCTCACTGATCCTCCTGCAGATGGTGAGTCCACAGGAGCTGAGATCTTTCAGTGGGGTTAAGTGTCTTGCCCAAGGTCACAACGACAGCAGTCATCAGTGGGAGTCGTGAAGTAGGTCTTGTGGTGGGCTCGAACCCACGACCTTCAGGCTCAAAGGCCAATGCTCTACCAACTGAGCTACTGTCTAAATATATCATTTCATTTCAGGAGGGACTCAGTTGGGCTCCGTAAAATGTACTGTAAATGGCCCTGTGAAGTTCCTGCAGTGGAAACCCGGCTAAAGCACATTTAATGTCAATAAAGAGGGCATTCCATTTACAAGGAGCATGCTTGGAGTCAAATCAGCCGTTCAAAATATTCAGATACAGGTGTAATGTCAGAATCAGAATCATTTTTATTGCCACCTAAGTAACAGGAAGTCACAGACTTGGAAATTGCTTTGGCTCAGTGCAACAGTCAGAAAGAGATAATAAAAATAAAGAATAAAAATAAAGAATAAAAAACACTTCTAAGGAATACATTTAAATTTAAAATAGAGTTACAGTTACTATTTACAATATACAAGTGCACATGGTGCACACAATGTAATGTGGGACTATTAGTAATTTTGGTTTGTACAAAAGACAAAAGAAACGCAATACAAGAAAATAAACCACAATATTCTGTTTGAAAAGGAGTTGGACAAGTTTGCGTGAGAGAGGGGTTGTAACCACACACAAACACACACATACACACCGGCAGAGAGACAGACAGACACGAACACACACACACACACACACACACACACACAAACACACGCACACAGACACACACACACTCTCTCTGACCCTTTAACCCCGCATCTTTCCTTCACATTCTTCACAACTCTAAATATATTTAGTGTTTTTACTAAAGAGTAACTCGTCGCACTCAGACACCCATTGGTTTTAAAATTTGTTTTATCTATTTGTTTGATTATTTGATCAGGATGGTGTGTATTCATGAAGTTCTCCTGTCTGGAAGTGAAATAGATTTGCTTGACCACTGGTGCCGCCGCTAAACTTTGCCACCTCTTTGTTGTCTGCAATTATGGAGAGCACCAGAGAATTCTCAGAGGCCCTCCACATTACTTGAGCAGTTTTAAAGTTAGGGAAACTTATGCAAATGATTGTTTACATGACTTTCACTCTGACCTGAGAGTTGATGGTGAACATTTTGGCATCACAAAAACCCTCTAGAACAGGAGCGGGGGTGTTGCTCTGGTTTGAATGACTGTCTTCCAGAGGACACGGGATGTTAAACTTCTTGTAAATAACCTGTTAGAGAAGACAAATATTGACAACTGCCTGCTCCTGCAAATATGCGTTTTGTTTGAATGACTCACAGAAATGAGGAAGAACACCATACAGGAGAGCGAGAAGCCACTTGTGTAGCCCAGATATCCTGTAGGGAGAACAGGAAATCAAATACAATGTAATATAACAGCGTGTTTAACAAATAGTGCGGACACATGAATGAGAAACACACGAGAACCAAAGACAAAGTGACTGCGATGGAAAAACATACCGAGCTGTTTCATGAGGGCTAATGGAAGGATGATGCAAATGCTAACAATGATGATCAAGTAGTTTCCATTCAAGAACCACTCTCTGAAGGACAGTGCAAAAGATGTCAAATGAGACGTGGAACTAAAACAGGACACCAGACAGAGCCAAATACGCACCCCGTGTTCTCGGTTTTACCCAGGAAGGCTTGTATCACCAACGGGAGCTCGGACTTCACAATGAAAAGGTAACTGGACATAGCTGAGGCAAAGAAATACAACAATCTCATTCATTCTTTGTTAAATACAGCAAAACTATAGTAATACTGCATACCGCCAATGTTGTGCACAGTGATTATGCTTGCTGCCACTATTTTGCCCGGAGCTCCAAAAGCCCGGTTCCCGAGCTGCTCATAGGCGCGGATCCCTGTGTGTGTCAACAAACAGAAACATCACACACATTCACACACACTATACAGGAAACTGCGAATGTGTCTCACCAACAACTCCTGCACTTTTCAACAGCAGGTGGATGGAATATGCAGACAAAATGGCAATGAGGATCAACAAGATTCTGGAAGAGAGAAAGGAGGAATACGTCAATATGGTGGATGTCAAACTGAGAGCCTACGTGTTATGATGAACTTTGCGTTTTATAAAGTTAGTTTCAACAGTATGAACACCTGTAGTTAAATATTGGGCAACCCTCGGGTTTAAGGTTTACGATTTAATTTATTAAGGACAATGTGCATTAAAACAATGCACCAGAGTTAGCACTACAAGCTACTTTCCATCTGTAGTCCTTGACAACACAATCAATCATACAACTTACATATTAAAATACAGTTCAATAAAAGCCCAAGTTACTAAAATACATATTAAAATACAGTTCAACAGAAGTGCAAGTTTACTAAGATACATATTACTGTGGCGGGTCAAGTAATTACATTATAGGGGTGTATTATAGGGATAATCTCATATGCATTTGCCAAGTATCGATATCTATTTTGAAAAAAAAAAAAAAAAAAAAAGTTTTAATTTTATTTATTTTTTTACATAAAAAAAAAAAAATTGGTATCAATACCTAATACATGGCTACATTACGCATCTCCATTCTATTTATCATGAAATAAAGTGTAGTTTTTCTTTTATTTATGCCATAAATTGGCATATTGTATATTTCTGACCAATATATCGATAAACGTCATATTGTGATAAAATCGTTATCGTGAGCTTTGTATCGTGTATCGTATCGTATCGTGAGGTACCCTTGGTTCCCACCCCTATTACATTATATTTTTAGAGCGGAATTTTGCCTAACTTGATCAGTCCTGGGTTATTTAGACTTTTTTAGACACTAATTTAGGGTATTCTTCTTCTACTGTTAATCATCTGTGGCGGGTCAACAGTGATAACCTCAGGCTTTGACCGAGGTTATCACAAGTGTTAAATATTGTACAAGTTTAAGACCCTACTAAAACATTCTACACAAGGCGAGGGCATCACCTGGAAACAAAATGATAATAAAAAATAAATTGGTTTTCTAATATACTGTATAGCATATTTCTTAGATACCCAAGGATGCTTCACCATCCCCACTACTGAATTCAAACCTGCACAAGACATATTCTACTACTACTACTACTACTACTACTACTACTACTACTACTACTACTACTACTACTACTACTACTACTACTACTACTACTACTACTAAATGAATGAATAGTTTTTATTATTGTGTCTTACATACACACTGTATGCCCAGCCCTAATGGGCTTATAAGACACCAGTAACACCAACAAAAGCACCAGATGCCAGACAATAGGCACACTATACAATACATAAACTTATTTAAACAAACAAGTCTGCCGCCTCAACCAGGCTTTACAAACAAAAGAAGCCAATTTAAACGAATTAGAAGTAAACAACCATTTCATCTTGTCGTCATCACTGATCCAGAACATTTCAGGCTTTTGAACAAACAATTCACCAAACAATACATTTCTAAGATCATCGTACTGTGGACAATATAACACAAAATGAGTTTCACTTTCAATCTCTCCTAACTCACACAGTCTACAGAGTCTGTCCTCTTCAGGAGCTTGAGTGAACCTGCCAGTTTCTATGGCCAGCTACTACTGCTACTGCTACTGCTACTACTACTACTACTACTACTACTACTACTACTACTACTACTACTACTACTACTACTACTACTACTACTACTACTACTACTACTACTACTACTACTACTACTACTACTACTACTACTACTTATCCTTCACATCCCTAGCTCGTTAAGGTGGAATTTTGAAAGCTGATTATATTTTGAGATATGGAGCAAAACTGTGAGAGGTATGATTAGCAGGTCGTGCACGTCCAGGTCACTCAGGGCAGTCTGGGAAAATCGAAAGCAGATCTTTTCCTTGTGCTACGTTGGCTTTAGCTGCTCTGAGCCTTTGCCACATAGCCGCGCTCTGATCCAGGCAGGCGTGTCTTTGGACGTGATCACCACAGGCTAAATTTAACCACTCAAATCTGATTTAAGGAGGCCGCATGTGATGTGGCCGTATGAGATCCCAACTCCATTGAAACAGATCAGGCTTCGCTCTGTAACGGGGATGACATTACTGACAGATACACAAAGGAGAAGACTACACGGACAGCACCCCCCCTTTCGCCTTGTTCCGCCTGGCAACAGGAATGCAGCCGGACCATTGGTGCGCGAGTATGTCCTGATAAGGCCTTACTATTGTGGTGTGATGGTGTCCAGTAACACACAATACAATATCTAGATTAGTAATGGCGTGAAGTAAGCCGAAGAAGGCCGATTCCCCAGCAAAAGTTGAAATTTTACACCTTTTATATAACAGCGTGTAAAAAAATCCTCATTCAAACTACATTTTATGCTATGACTGAAATCAAACAACCAATATGTAACACTCACTGCACTGAACACTTAAAAATCTTAAAACAATCTGCACTGTTAAATGTCTATTATATGTATTTATATGTTGAAAACCCTTCTTTTTAGCTGGACATATGACGGACTTTTATATATTGAGTTTTTATACTGTTTTAATTCTGACATTCAGTCTGAATTATTATTTTTTTTTCTTCATTATTGTTTCACCTAACATTTTAAAAAGTTTGTAAATGTGTACAATTTTATGTCTGTGTAAAGCACTTTGGGTTGCACTGCATATATTGTGCTTCATAAATAAACTCGATTGATTGATAGATTAAAATGTGTGATTAATGATTTTGTATGCATGCCTTGTGTTTTTTCTTTTTTTTTTTAACTTTTTTATAACCATAATCCAGAGCAAGTTCCTAGTTTGTGTTTTTACACTGGCAATAATCTGAACAAATGTATAAATAATCCCATAATAATAGACATTTCGGAATCTAAACAAGAATCAATCGTCCGACTGATCAATTATCAAAATAATCGGTAATTACAGGCCTTATTGGATTAATGCGGATCAGATTCAGACAGGACTTTGTAACAATAGTGCTCAGTTGTCTGCAGCAGGTACAGATAATTTATAAGTTTAAAGTAAGAATACATGTGTGATCTGGATGGACATACTCACATAAAAAGAATAATTCCGGTGTTGGACATCGCAAAAGCCAGCCCCAGGATCCCACTGCCCATGATGGCGTTACTGAGGTTAAAGACAGACATTCCAAAGGAGGTTTTTCCTTCAAACTGTAACAAAGACAATAATGAAGTGAAAAAACTGGTCTAAAGGTTCAAAGCTTAGGTTATAATGTTTCCAATTGCGAGTCTGCCTCTTGCTAGTCTCTATGAATCATAAGAGTCAGATGTTTTCTTTGAACACACCTCTGCCAGGTCCAAAACTCTGCCTCCTCAACAAGACAGGAACCGAAGGCGTCTTGTCTCACATAGAAGCTTTTCTGGATGTATTTCTTTATACATTTATATATTTCTTTATTTTACTTCATTACTTATCCAAATAAAAGTGATTTCTGTGAAGAGGCCAATCAACTCACAAGAATATATTCCAAGAAGAATTATTTTAATGAATTTATTTAAGGACAATGCGCAGTTATAAGATGGCTGCACCAGATCTATAATCATCCTACTTTCCATTTAGTTATAACATTTAATCAATGTATGAACTTCAGGCCAACTTGCAGGGCATTCCAGTTTAAAGGAATAGCATCGCCATGGAAATGGACTGGTGCCAAACCCTTCATCAGAAAAGTCACGTTCACATTTTAACTGGACCAATTCTGTTCCATGTGGGCCAAAACCGATTTATGTGTGGATGAAAAACCACCAACAAGTGAATATGTGCCCACAGGTTTACAGCAGAAAAGAGTGAACCAGTCGTACTCCAGGTAAAGTGAACCAGCCGTGGTCCAGGTAAAGTGAACCAGCCGTGCTCCAGGTAAAGTGAACCAGACTAAGTTGAGTACTATGTGTGCATAGTGCTGCTTTAAGACCATGACATACATCTGTAAAGCGAATCTCCGTCTTGATATCAGTTTTATGAGGTAGAAACTCTTCCCGTTCTGCATTAATGGCCTCAAGGCCGTCAAACCTTTTGGCACAGAACAAAACAAATGATTGTTATTGATGAAGGATTTATGGACCACAGTCCTTTCTACAACTCACCCATCGTCTCTGCTGTGGCCGTTCACCTTCTGCAGCTCCATTCTGTGTGTGGACGTGTGTTACTCAATAGAGAGGAGATGTTCTAATATCTGTAGGAAGAATATCACACTGACTAGTTATTTTTTTTATGTATACAGGCCACAATACACAGGCAACCTCATACACTTAATCCCACATGGATCTCATGCTCGTCCATCATATGATGATTATAGAGTGACAGACCGCTGGACTGAAAACGCCTGGTCTAAAGTGTGTGTCTGTGCAGTGGGCTGGTCCTGGCATGGCTGAGTGGGTCTGCCTGCACTGGGGTCATGGGAGAGTCCGGCCCCTGAGCCTCAGGACTCTCCCTCTTGACCCCAAAGACACGTTCACAAAGCAGTGTGCCATTCCACACACGTTCCACACGTCCCACTCCTCTCAATGCCTCCGATACTGAATGATCCCAACAACTTTGTGAGCTCAGCCAGAGCTTCGGACAAAGACTTTCTATGTACATGGTTTTATCTAAAGCTTCCCTCACTACACTGACTCAAGACAGCTTTGTTTGGGGGAGTCACTACTTTAGCAGCATATTTGCACGGTTTCCCATGGCCTCTGCCCAAAATACACTGAGAAAAAACTTTTTGGCCTTTTTCAAGTTATTTTAATGCATAATGCATTCCCTACTTGTGACACTTTCTTCTTTAAAAGGGCATTTTTCAACCTGCCACACGTGCAAACCAGACAGACCTGAAGGACCAGGCTTTTATCTTTTTTCCACCAAACATTAAAAAAATACATTAACAAACCTACAGTAATTATGTAATTTGTGTCTGTAAACAAATAGTCTTGATAGTGAAAGTAAATAGAACTGGTTTAGAGTCTGAAAAGCATGGTATTCAGGATGATTTCCTACACTTCGTGGAGAAGGATAAAACCATTAGATTCTTATAACAAACAACCTGATAAATGCAGATCATGCTCTTTCAGAAAAATATAGTCAACAACTCTGGAGAACTCTGATATTCTGGAATTACAGCGTAATAGACTCCTGCGTACCACATGGCTCTCATCTGATGCAAGAGCTCTCCAGTATTGACAGCCCTTCCCTCCTTCCCTCTTTCCCTCCACACATGGACACGCATGCACTTCCACTCACCGGCTTCAGCCTCCGGAAAACCAACAAAAAAAACCTCCACAAGTAAATCCTTGGAGCCTCTAAACAGGGAAATGTGAAGAGAGCAATGTTTACATCCACCACTATGTAGAGCCTTGTGCTTAGTGCTGAGAACTCCTTGGTAGTGGAGGCACAGACGGATTAGAAACGGGAAGTGGGAACACCTACTCTTAACCCTTTGTTTAACAGACTCAGGTAGTAGCTCCAGGCCAAGCAGCTCCAAACACCAAAATAGACCACTCCCCTTCATGGAGTCTACAGCATGGGCCATATCCCCCTACTGCTTGTATAGGAAAACTCATAAAATACAGTTGCGTATGCATGTATTTTCTATATTTTACCTTCACATATTCCCATGTGCCTCCTTACATACAGCTATAAATGACAAAAGATGTCAGATACTTCAGGTAGCGGGGACAGTCTATGGTTTGTTGTGGTGGACTCGCTGACAGCCTGTATCCTGTGGGAAGTTAGTGTGATGTTAATTAGCTTAGGAGATAAGTGCTTTTTTAAGATTACCCACATGTGATTGTACTTACGAGTGGAAACATGCTGACACGTTGGCATAAGCTTGACCCCAAATGAACATTAGCACCAGCACGAAACAGAGCAAATGGACCAGAGCAAAAGATCCCACGGATAATCCTCATTGCTATGGGCGCCTGCCTCAGACTGTGGCTACAATCTATATATCCATGATTTTACAAACACAGTCATTTTGTTGCACAAGATTACATTACTGTGATTTCCCCATTTATTATCTCAAATTGTAATTACAAAGGCTCAATAAATAAAAATTAAAAAAAAAGTCTGGTGGGCTTTGACAATAATGTGCATCACACAACCCCTTTGTCATTTCCCATGTCACATATTTTGCATACAAAGGTTATGTAATCAACTCACCTTACTGTTAACATACAGAATAAAATATATCTTTTTATGTGTATAAAAAATCCCTGGCTGCTTTTTAGTAACAGTTTACAAGAGAACTCGATCAAGCGCGCCCCACAGAGATCACTGTTTTAGTACAAAAACAGCTGCACCTTTAAACAGTTGGTCTTTTTTGTAATGACTTAATTTCTTCCAAGTATATATTATGTACAAACACTTTTTATCTTCATTTGAGCATGTCTTAAAACAATATTTTCTAATAGAATAAGCAAAATGTCTATGAAAAACAGTTCTTGAAATAAAACTAAGCGCATTTCTTTTGGCAAATCTTGTTTTATGGAAATTAGCCTAATTTTTTAAACAAAAGTTCGACTTATTTTGATATTTTGTTTTCAGCGCTTACTTAAATGCGGTACAGTAAGGTCCCCATTAAATAATCCAGTATAATATATTAGTGCAGAGTTTTAAAGTTATTTCATCTGCATCTGATCTGAAAATAAACTGAAAAAAAATCAGCAAATGTCTGATAATAATATTTGTTTATTCACGTTCAATTACTTCCCTGTGTCCGAGTAAAAATAATGTCTAATCAATAAATGTCTTGACGTTTATAAAATAGCAGTTAACAATTAATTGATTCCCTTATCTAAGAAATACGTTATTTAATGTAATAAAATCATTTGTCATTGAGGGCGACAGTAGCTCAGTTGGTAGAGCACTGGCCTTCAGGCCTAAAGGTCGTGGGTTAAATTCCCACCTCTACACCTTCTCCACCGACTCCCACTGATGACTGCTGTCGTTGTGTCCTTGGGCAAGACACTTAACCCCACTTTGCCCAAAGCCCCCACTGAAAGATCAAGGCTATGCTCACACTCAGAGAGCAGCAGTCCTCCTGTGGACTCACCACCTGCAGAGGGTCAGTGAGGGGCTGGTGCTATGAGACTTGGGCATCTCTGATTGCCACCCCCCTGACCCAGAAATGGATTAAAGGGTAGAAAATGGATGGAAATCATTTGTTTCAGCCCAATACTTTCAACTTTAAAATCATGAACATAAAATGGCCGACTGCGCCTCGGCCTTATGAAAGCAAAAGTCCAGACCACATGCTTTTTGGGCCCATGCAGTTACAGTTAATTGAATAGATGTCTTAGGTTCATATGTTATAGATAATTGACTTGGCAGGAAACAACATCACATGCCGTTCCTGCAATATGTCAATTATACTTTAATAAAGCATAAGTATCAAAAAATATAACAAAAAACCCAGAAAAAAACTATTTTTGGGCACGAGGAATAAAAGACAGTTTATGTGTTCTCCTGTTTGATAAAAACTATATGTTGGGTTCTCACCATAGACTGTAAATATTAATATCATTCTCACTAAAAGTTTCTCGGTACTCCTCAGGTTCCGACGACTGCTTAGCTCAATGAAGCCCTATAGGGAGGTGTTCATGGACAAAGTGAAGAAGATGGCATAGTCTGGGATCGCGTCTTTAATTCAGACAGAAGACATGTTTTATTGTCAATGGTAGAGACAGCACGATCAAAGCACACGATCACAGAAACAATAGAATGCAAGTGTATTATACAGAGCAGAGGCATGGAGACCTCCAATCAGCAGCTTCCACGGTGTGCTTGTAGCTTGGCCTTCAGATAGACAAAACAAGGGAAAAGTACTGGCTTCTGCACATTGATAGAATGATGAGTTTAACTTTAACAAAAGTTGCTTCAAAGTGTTATGAAATCTCATATTCCCCCCTCTGGTCATACATTCACGTGTGACCATCAGGATCAATAAACAGCAACATAACATCATAACTCAATACTTCAAAACTCATACTTCACTCGGTACTTCAAAAAACTCAGAACTCGGAATACTTCAAAAACTCAGAAAACTCATAAAACATGTTCAGATCTTTCATAAAACTTGTCAACAATCTTCAGTAAAATACCAAACTTCATCAGTCGATGGTGGTTCCAGATATCGCTTTGAAAACAGTCTCTCCCACTTCTCCGTGTTGGTTTCTTCAGGCTGCATTTGTGTCAAGCCATGAATTCTTCTGTGACGTGTCTTTGAATCACACGTTTCAGCTTTAGTGTCCAGATTCAGCAATCCAATTCAGTCCAAATTATGTCCAAATTCAGAAATCCAGATTGTTCCAAATTATGTCCAAATTGTGTAATCCAATTGTTCCAAATGGTGTCCATGCAAACGAGGACGCTAGTGTTGTCCATGTCTCAGCAGCTCACAGCCTGACTGGAATCAGGGGCTGTGCAGATTGTCCATGTGCTGGTCCAGATGCATGGTTTCTCTTGAGGTTTCTCAGTTTTGGCTTAAAAAAACACTTTTTGTGTAAAAAAAAAAAAAAGTCTTCTGTTCTCTAGATGTTACAGACAAGGCCCGCATCCTTCCACCACCTGAAGAAGATGGCATAGTCTGGGATCGCGTCTTTAATTCAGACAGAAGACATGTTTTATTGTCAATGGTAGAGACAGCACGATCAAAGCACACGATCACAGATACAATAGAATGCAAGTGTATTATACAGAGCGGAGGCATGGAGACCTCCAATCAGCAGCTTCCACGGTGTGCTTGTAGCTTGGCCTTCAGATAGACAAAACAAGGGAAAAGTACTGGCTTCTGCACATTGATAGAATGATGAGTTTAACTTTAACAAAAGTTGCTTCAAAGTGTTATGAAATCTCACAAAAGTTTTGCTCCATCATGCTCTGGCTCCTTTTTACTTACATGGAAGAGTAAACCATGTCTCACTCACCAATTTGGCTTAAAAGATCCGAGGTTTAGCGCCCTCTGTGATCCTGGTGTTTATATTTAATAAATATTGTTTTTGTAAATCCAGATATGAGCCAAATAAGGATTGACCAATCAGATGCCTCGAGTCTGTCCCTGCACAAACATAGGTTTGCCATAATATGGAAGAGATAATATGGGCATTTCTTTTGTGGTGTACACAAACGTCGTAAAAAAGGGGCAGGCGTGTTGCTAATGCAAGCCATCTGATTGGTCAATCCTTATAGGGCTCATATCTGGATTTAAAAAGACAATATCACAATATCAATACCAGGATCACTCGCCCCAAAATAGTCAGTGTGACACAAACGGTTACTGAGCTAGAGGAGCCAGAGTGACCTGGTCAATTCCTTTCCTTATTGGCTTCCTTGAGCTATAGGGGTTTAGCATTGTCTATCTATATATAGTCTATGGGTGCAAACTAATGCCACGAAAGAAATGCCCATACAGGAAATTGGCTCCAGCTAGCTTTTGTTTAAATCAGCCCTATCTGCACTCGGTCAGTCCACTCTTATTAAACGCCCAAATATTCTGGCTCACAGTCCGTGCGTGTATACATTTCTTGAAACACCTCAGGATCTGAAGATAAATACATCAAAGATGCAGCAGCAGGATGTTGAGAGTGAGCAACCCTTTCCCTTCAACGAAAGGTCGTAATAGTCACACTTTTCAGTTGACTGATAAAGTTCAACGAAGCTGCAACCCCAGAAACTCCCTCTCAGTCTTATCTCACCTCCACAAGCTTTGAGAGAGAAAGGCAATGTTTGTGTCGACTGGAACTCATCAATGTGTGAAATCCGGTATGAAGATCAAATGTGTCACTTTTGTCACCCTGTGTTTTTGCAGACATTGAACACCTGTATTGAACCGTATATATATGGACCACAGTCGGGTCCTCGCTGTATTGCCAATACTGGCATATTTAAAGTAATGCTGATTAACATTACTCAAACTAATAGAATCAAATGATGTGCATTATTTGCTCAAATAATGATAATTCTTGGTATTTTTTATTCATAGTTTGCGAGATATTTGGCCAGCAGAAATAATTCTCCTTTATTTCAAAAGGTAAATCAAATGTGGAAGTAAAATCCTGTCATGTATTGTATCATGTATAGGACAGATTTATCTTCAACTGTATATTAGTCTAAAGCTCGGGAGGAGAAAGAGATTTACATTTGTGCTGACTCGAAACTCTTAAGAAACAGATTTGAATTAATTCATACTCAAATTCAATTGGTCCATATTTTAAAAGAATAGGATAATAATATATAGAATTAAACCTTTGATGGTCTTCTGTGATTGACTATTGATTAAATTAAAGTTAATGAGTTTAGCTAATGAGCTTGTGATGTGATATTCAAATATGAGCCGTTCCTATTTATAGCTTTTCTAGGATTTTGACTGGATACACAAATGTAATGTCTATGAATTATAAATACTTAAATACTGTTTACATATTTTATAAAAGGATTTAGTGGGAGCTCAAGAAGAATATCTACAGCATAACTTTCAACAAATAATTTCATTTCAAGACATTATTTAGTGGGAGATTGGAAGACAATGCCTTGTCACCACGTGTATGAAAAGGAAGCAGCTCATTCATTCATTCATTCACAAATCTGCGTCTCTCAACAGCCTTACCTTACCTCCTTGTTTAGTGTTTGGACAGGACGCTGTGGAAGGGTCAGGAGGTAGAGGAACGTGAAGAGGCCTGGGTCAGACAGAGCTCGTCCCGGAGTTGTGCTCTTGGCTGCAGCTGTAAGAGAAGAGGAAAAAACCAGGGGGAGGAAAAGCGCTGGTAATTACCCGCGTAACTAAATTTCTTTCCATGTCACAAGTTACGTCCCTCCCTTTCACTTCCTCAGCCACAGCCACATGTCAAACGCTAGAAGAAAATGGTCTTAACAAATGACGATTCTAGTGCTGTAAATTACAAGATGGCCATACCTATACATAAACATAATGGTTTCTCTAAAGTGCTGGGTTATGCTGAGAGTCTGCAGCTGTAACTGTCATAACGGTTGAAAACTGCTGGCTGTTGTCTGTGCTACAAAATGATACTATTGCCATCTAGTGGGAGGATTGCTAAGATTGCAACTGTATCAAAAGTAACAGACCAAATTATCCATCCATCCATCCATTTTCTTCCGCTTCATCCGTTGCCGACCAAATTAGACTTATAATAATACTATCTCATAATAATAATAATAATACATCGTACATATATAGCGCTTTACGGAAGAAAAATAAACAAAAAATAAAAAGCTAAAAATTAACAGTTAAGTGTAGGCAGTTTTGAACAGGTCTATCTCTCTTTTATTATTTTTTACAAAACTTTGAAAAACAATGGTTGTGAAGCAGATCTAAGGTAAAGTTAAAAATAACTATCAGAAAATGACCCCTGCATCATTTCCCCTTCTCTACCCACGCAAAGTAGTTACAGCGCGCCTCAGGGTTGGATGCATGCCCCTGAGGACGCGCACACACAAAAAACTGCTTGCCGACGTTTGGCCCCTCCTTCTTCACAGTGCGGAGTACACAGGGCTCCCCATGGACCTTACAGCACGGAGCAGGAGGAGGGCCCTTGAGCACAGACTTCCAAAACACTGAACCTTTCTTAGAATCAGAGCTGAGTGCAGGAGGCTGAGGAGTGTCCACAGCCTCTGTGTCCTTAGACTCACTGCTGAGACTCTCCGTGACCCTGGGATTGACCGAGGGGTTAGGAGTTGAGTTGACCCCGCTCTGATAAAGATTATTTTTACATTGCTTATCAGTTGATTCAATAGAAGAGGCAACATTAACAGTCTTGGCTTTAAAAAATGCTAGTAGATTTCCTTGAGGCTTTGTAGTCTTTGCTTTTTTCCCTTTTGGAATAAGTGAGTCTGCTGGCCTCTTTTCACCTCTCCCAGAGGGGTGTAGATTCTCTCTCTTCTCCTCCGCTTCTTGAGATCCAGGTAACTCTGCCTTAGGACTGAACAGAAGTGATTTTTGGTCCATCTTCACCAGAAATCGAGAAAGTTTCTGCTGCTTTCCAGCAAACTCTGGCAGGTACTGTGTGCAGTAAGGCGGAGGTTTGAGACTGGGCACCAGGGAGCAGCTCAGTTGTCCCCACACTGGACAGTGGTCTGACCCCTCCACTTCAGGCATAATGTCTGCTCCCACAAACTGCTCTTTTGCAAGTTGGCAATTAGCAAATATGTAGTCAATGCGTGTGCCGTAGTTAGTCTGGCGCGCACCCGTCATAGTAGACCAACATGTGAAGGCCTGAGTGCGAGTTGGGTGGAAAAAGCGAAACATATCCACAAACTTTCCTCCTTCAGAGTGGTTCAAAGACGTCTCATGTTCCTCATCTCCATCCTCTTCACTCCTTTTGTGATCACTTTTGTCACAGTGTAGAAATCCATTGAGCCATTTCCTCCCAGGGTTATCTTCAAAATTATCCTAGATAACACAAAAGGAGTACAAACAACATGTACTATTAAGTAAAATGCGTATTAAGTTAAACTAATTACATAATCATATTACATATAATACTTTACTTACAATATCATTTGGGTCGCAATGATCTATTGGTCTGTGAGATGTATTTACGTCACCCAAAACAATAACATGGCTGTAAAAAGAGGTAATCTATTAGCATATTAAACTTTTATTCTGTTGGAAATGTCTACAGTATTTGTAGCCACTGCTTCACCTTCCACCTTTCAGAATGGCTTCAGCTCGAGATTGAAGCAACTTGTAGAACTGCAGCTTGAACTGTTTTCTTTCTGGCTTTTCTGGATCTGCCCTTGGACAGTACACGTTTAGTAAAGTGATGAGTTGTTGTTTGCCTTGACACCTAGTCAAACAGTGCAAATAAATGAAACTATAGTACAGAATATTGCAGTGTTTACAGATCATTTGTTCAGAAGTAAATTATTGGTGAATTAGTGTAATGGTAAATCCTTACTTGATCCTGTGCTGTGTAATGACTGCTCGTCCTTCGTTGTCCAAAAGCTGGAGCTCCTCATTGGAAAACTCTGTGTGATCACCATAAGCTCCGACAACTTCATTGTGACTGGTCAGAAGTCCTGTGAGACCCTCCTCAGCTGCACATGGAGTTGCTTGGTCTTTACAGTAAGTGGCCACCCCTGTACAAAGTCAAAAGTTCATATACCGGATACATGCAGTCATAGCAGTAAATTAAGGGATGACAAATCTGGATTACAGGTCCCCATACAAACAGGGGTCCATGACTGCAGATTTTAAATTGTGACATTTAGCTGGATTTGGCAGGATGGGAGGATGTTTTTTAATCCATGTCTCAAACCCTAAGGTAGGATATCGCATGTTACTGTTGTATGTGCTGCACAGTCTTATAATTGCGGTCTGTATGTTGATTAGTTCTATGCTATTCTGTGTGTTGAATGGGTGAGAGGGGGTTGGGATAAAATAAGTGTCTGCCTCATCCAGTCCCTTTTCAAACCTGTATTTGAGTGAAGATATAGTAAATTGTGTTCTGCGGGTTTGAAATAACTTGTAGTAAATTAATTGGGTACATGACTTGAGTAGAATGGACGAACGAACAGCATCACACCTGAATATCCGCTACGTCCTCGGCTGTAGCTGAAATAGGAACTGTAGCCATCCACAATAGCTGTCCTTTCATCAAGCAAGTCTCCTGAAACAATATAGATTTGAGAGACTGAGAACCATGTCTTGGTCTGCGGTTGTATGGAATGACATGTTTTTTGTTCATGACTTACTCGTAACCTTTGTTTCTTGCACGCAGATGATGTCTGCATCCAGTGAGTCCAGTGCATGTTTAATGCCACTTCGGAAAGTCCTTATTCCGTTAATATTCCACGTGACGATCTTCATTGCGCCTAAATGATCAAAATGCTACGAAAATGTCCAGCACGAGCGCATCAGGAAGTACAGCGGAAGTGCTGCACGCAGGTCGAATTTTTTAAACTATCTTAAATATGTTACAAATATGTATAATATGTGAGGTTTTAAGTTTAATTCCAATAAAGTGGATGATTTGTATATTTTAAATTTTCCCCGCCGATTATATTATAAACGAGCTAGAGAAATCTGTGGCCGCGGCCATCTTTCAAGTGTAAAAAGAGAACCCGTCCAAAAGAATAGGGATTTTGTCTGTATTAAAGGTTGAATGTCTATCACTGTCACGAAATAATGATGCACACGAAATAAAGTGCATCATCCTTTAATGTAATATTGTCTAGTTTAAAGTATTTTGTTTGAAATAGATATCCCCTATTATCTGCAGGTTTCTCTCTTTGCGGTCATCACCTACATAAATACGCCCGTACCACTAATATATACAGTCTATGGTACCATGACATTCGCGTTCCAGATTGTTAGCGATACGGAACTAGCCCTAGTTATGGAACTAGTTCGAGTTTTATATTATCTCCTGCAACTTTTTCTATCGCAATTTTTCACTTTTATAATTCATGCGATGCGTATCACTATGATGTATAATAAATCAAGTATCTAAAAAATATTAAACATACTAAGTCAAATGTATTTGTTTACGTCGGCTCTAGTCGTGTTTTATATCTTGATTGCTTCGCTCAACTGCAGTTCACACTTGGGCCGCTAGAGTGCGCCGTGGAGCTGTTGTCACATTTCGGCGCGGGTCTGTGGGTCTGACGCTCGGCTACACGTCTGGAGCTGAAGCTGAAACTCGAGAAGCACGGAGCCTCGGAGCTCACACACGGAGCACACGGAAGGACGACTCAGGGGGAGGTTGAGGAAGGGGAGTGCTCAGCCAGGCGTCTGTCCACAGCAGAGAACAGCTCCACGCCATCGGACCTCCTGTCAGAGCTGAAGAGGGAAGAGGAGGTGAGCGCATTGACCACAGTGCTCATGGGTAAGTGCTGCTGTCTCACGTCTCTGGAAATAGCTTCACTAACAACGGTTGGATAGCTATTGTTTATGATGAGTTGGATATAGATTGTGTTTTACAGGCTTCAGTATAGAGAGCAGGGTAGATCAGCTTGCCAACCACAAAGATGCTAGCTAACGTTGTTGCTAGCTAACATCCTGTAGCTAATTAACCCGATATGACGTCGCAAGGCTATTAGTATTAACATGACAATGATATACCCGTTCAATATCAAATCTAATTCATTGTGATTTTAATTGGCTTTGCACTTATCAATGTTATGTGATAGTATGTTCACGAAGGCGTGGGTGATGCCAAGATTGTTTGTCATTGAAGGGAATCTTAATTTTAACTTCATGTTTGACAAAGGAAGATGTATTTATTTTCATTCTGTCATGATCCAAGCACTGGTTTGTATTTGCATATTGGAGTGATGGGGGTTTGGGGTTCAGAGTGCACCCTGCCCCACCCAGACACTGATATTAAATTATGCATGAAGACCCTTCTGCTGTTTCCTTGACCACTTTGTTTATTACATTTGAATCAATGGTACACAAACGTAAATGTAATATTCATCTAAACTTAACAGAACCAAAGCAAGTATAACAGGCGTGAAGTAACGTTTCCTTGTTAATTAAAAGTTAATTACATCTGCTTTCCAGTGAAGTGATGCGAGTGGAGTAAGCCGGTAAGAGGCTGGACAGAGCCATGCTGGAGGCAGACTCAGACCCCGGTGCTTCTGTGCCTGGGGAAGGGGAGATGGATGTGGGGAGCAGAGACCTGCAGTCTGAAGTGCTGCGGCTGAGCCTTGAGCTTCAGGAGGCCACAGAGGAGAAACTACAGGCTGCTCGATATGGCCTAGTGGTCCTGGAGGAAAGCGCTGCCCTGAAGATAAAGCACAGGCAGCTGGAAGAAGAGCATGAAATCCTGAGAGTGGAGCTTCAACAGTTAAGAGAGGTGAGCCAGTCAGCCTGGTGACGTATTCTGAGGGTTGTTCTCATGTGCAGCAGTTATTCTAGTGATCGTTTGTTAAAGAAAACCATTAAAATGTTTACTGTAATGACCTCAAATAATAATTTCATTTATCTTTTGTTTTGATTAATTATTTGAACCGAAAGTAATTATCTGTGGCAGTTCAATAGAAAACGTACATTTGGCTTGTCACAAAAGAAAGCTCTTGGTCATTTGTAAATGTCAGCAAAGCAAATGCATAATGACTTTGGTTGAGACTTTAATCTATATTTCTAATAATAATAATCTCTGTAAAGCCAATTTCTTGGCAGTTCACATACTTTGGCTTTGACTGTGTTATAACACTGCAAGAATTGACCCCATCTGTTGGAAATTATATAACCATAACATTACTGCTTGTGTAGTTAGGTGTGAACTGAACTTCATATGAATTTGGTTCAATTTTTCTGTGTCAATGAACATATGAGTCATGGGTTTGTTTCCCAGGGGTTTCATCATAGATGTTAAAGTGATATCTTCCTTTTACGCACTTTAAAGATCTGTTTTGATTTATTGACAAGATAAACACGTATTTTATTTTTCTTTTACAGTGTTTTGCAGTTGCTTTGTTTCCTTTGTGCTGCCATCTGATGTTTTTAAACTCTGTCTAAAGGCGTTTGCAGACTCTGTAAGCAGCCAAAAGCGCGCAGCTGCAGATGGAGAGTGCCGTGAGGAGAACTTGCTGCAGGAAACTGCCTCCAAGGAGGCTGCCATGGCAACCCGCATGGAGGAGATTCAGGCAGAACTGAAACAGACTCGACTCGCTCTGGGTAACGCGCACGCTGAAATAGACCGACTGGCCGTCCTGTCCTCTCATTTAAAAAAGGTTTGCTCTGATCAATCCCTGTATCTGTGAGCACTTTTGAACAGCTGTAACATGTCCACAGCAGTGTGAATGTCTGGAGGCAGAGAAAGGCCACCTGAGAGACGAGATGAAGGAGTTTAAAGTCAGAGAACTGCGTCAGCTACAGGACACTGGTGAACTAGAGGAAGAAAACACATCGTTACAAAAACAGGTTTCTGTGCTGAAGGAGAACCAGGTCAGTTCACTATGACAGATGGCGTTCAAGCCTTAAAGATAATTTTCCGTATTAAATGTTTTTGAATGTTGCAGGTGGAGTACGAGTCCATGAAGCTGGAGCTGAGCCACAAGAACGAGGAGCAGGAAGATCTGAAGGCGCAGCTGGACGAGGCGGCGCGGCTGAAGGAGATTGCGGAGCGGCAGCTGGACGAGGCCCTGGAGGCTCTGAGTGAAGAGCGGGAGCAGAAGAACTGTCTGCGCAGAGAGCTGTCGGCCCTGACCCTCAACCCCTTTGAATCCAACCTGGAGCTGCACCTGGAGCGCCTGGAGGATAGTCCTGAGGAGGGTCAGGGCGGAGAGGTTGAGGGAGAAGAGCAGGACTCTGTCTTTAACAACAGTCCTGGTTCTGCTCCCGGTTCTGCTCACCCTCCTCACTCTGGAGGCTCCAAGAGTAATGGCCTCGTCCGCCGCTCAGGGCCACGCCGAGCCCCAGCCTCAGGCCTCGTGTCTGACCTCCTAAGCGAGCTGCACTTTTCTGACAGTCAGAAACTAAAACAGCAACTTTTACAGGTACATACTGTATTTTTATTTATATGAAAAATAAAGTTTTCTATCAATGTTGTATTTTACACTTCTCTATTAATGTACTAACTGATAGAATCATGTTATTTGTGTGTTTCGTAGGTAGAACGAGAGAAGTCTAGCCTGAGCAGTAAAGTGGAGGAGCTGCAGATGCAGCTGGTGATGTCCAAACAGGCTCTGAGTCAGCACGAGGACAAAGTGGAAGCTCTCAGCCGAGAGTTGGAGGCAGTGAAGAACGGCACACGTCCCAACACAGAGGGACATAATGAGTCTGAGAATGGAGAAGTCTTTGACTATGAAGTGGATACAAAGAGTAAGGAAGTGCTGGAAGCCAGGATGCGAGCGTCCAGTGAAGAACTGTTAAAACTCCGAGATGAGCTTTCTCAAGCAGAAGCTCGATACAACACATTAGAACAGAGATACAAGCAGGAGAAGGAGCGCTGGAGGTCCGAGGCCCAAGAGCTCGCCGACAAGATCCGGCAGTGCATCAAGTCCAGTAAACAAGACCAGGAGCGCATCACGGAGCTGGAGAAGGAGATCGGGGCGACCAGGAAAGTAGCTATAGATTCAGAGGGGCATTTGAGCGTGGCCCAGGAGGAGCTGCTGGCCTTCTCAGAGGAGCTGTCCAACCTCTATCACCACATCTGTGTTTGCAACAACATCACACCCAAAAGAGTGACTCTGGATTACTACAGAGGAGGTGGGGGCAGCGGGCGGAGGCTCGCCCACCCTCAGCACAGTGTCCAGAAGAAGAGGCCGGATGAGACCTTCATCTCCAAAGCCGCTGCACTGCAGTTCATGGGCGAGGTGGACAGCTGCGGGGCCAGTGGAGAATCCTCCAGCTGCCCAGGGTCTCCCACCCTCGACTTCAGGGACCCTTCAAACGTCCGCAACCTGGTGGCCGTCATACGCTGCCAAATCAAGCACCTTCGGGTAAGAACACTCACGATGCCTTCAAACACAGACAGTGATGTCAGTGGTTTAAGCTTTTTGTTTCCAACATCAATGGTCTCTTCAAACCATGAAGAGACTCCTGGTCTTCAAGACATAGCGCTTGAATCATACTTGTTGAAACAAACTCTCAAATAAAATGTATGAATGAAATGTGTTGGTCGAAAATCTATCCAGCGTTACAGTGGGTGAACCCCCCGACCCCGTTTTCATGTGGTCCTCGTGGCTCTGTGCTCGTCCTCCTGCTGTGGTCAAAAACGAAGCTCTTAATTTATACATGTACTTTCACCCCAGCCCGGTCCCGGTCCGACACGGGAGATCAAAACTCTGTCTTGGTCAAAATCCAATCTAGTCTTAGTCCAAATCTCTGTGTGTGTGCCTTTGTGCCAGAAAAGAGCCTTGATTTGGGGAATGTGTTTACTTTCTTTTAAAATGTATGGAAGTTAGAAGATGTTTTTTTGGAACGTAAAAAAGTTAAGATTAGTTGATTTAGTCAAAATTAATTATTGATATAAAGTATTACTCCATTATTAAAATTATAAGTAGCTACAGGCCTCATTAGTACAATTTCCTACATCCACTGTGAAAACTGTGGCCCAAGTAATGAACCGATCAGACTTCTGGACTCCAGTCACAAATCCTGTGCACGCTGTGGCTTTGCTAACATGTGAGTTTGGCTTTGAATGGAGTGAATTATGAGTCCTGAGCTAATGTTTCTATGGCAAAAATCCTTTAAGTAAACAACTGTAACTTGGACATTCGGAGATGTTGTTCCGTGTCACAAAGTCGACATGCAATAGCAAATGGACGCCTGAGTGTTAAAGAAAGTCTTTTCTGTAATGTAATGTGTGTAATGTATGTAATCTTATGTCCTGACCACAGGTGGCAGTGGATGTGTGTCGTCAGAGGGGGGCGATGCCGTACTCTGGGCTCAGTGCCAGTGTGGAGGCTGAGCGCGACTCAGAGAGCCTGATGGAGGAAGTACTGAAACTCAAGTCTCTCCTCAGCACCAAGAGAGAGCAGATCGCTACTTTGAGAACAGTCCTCAAGGCCAACAAGCAGGCGAGTCACTGCGAGTCACTGCGAGTCACTGCGAGTCACAACAAGCACGTGTCCAAACCCTCTACACAAATACTTTATGCACTTTTTCTTTGTTCCTTCCAATCAAACTTGTATTTTTCTTACACATACTGTACATATCTTGGCATATCTTAAAGCTTCCACCTAAAGCTAATCTGTACCTGATCCTACTGCAGGCTTAGCAGTATGGATACTCCACACCATATGATCTCTGTCTAGACAGAGGTCGTTTTACTGCTCACAGCGCAGCGCCCAGAGAGTAGCTCCTGGTCATGTGACGCAGGTGAATGCATGTCTTGTAGATCCCAGTTCAGGTGCATCTGTTTATTAGGTATATTATTTTTTCTTGATAAAAGGAAAGTAAAATTTTACATAACATAGATAGACACATTTAACTCATTCACTGCCAGCCATTTAAAAAGCAGCATCCCTCATACTGCCAGAGATTTTGGACATTTTTAGTGTTTTTCCGAACCGCATAGAAATGTGAGCCCTTGGTTGACACAAGTATGAAACATACCAAATGAAAGCTCTATCCCTTGGCTTTCATTTTTTTTAAAAAGTAAGTTTCTAACCCTTTTAGTTTTTTAGCAATTGAGAGTGCAACATAGGTAACTTTCACACAAAATGCTGTTTCCTGACCAAGATTTGGAGAAAACAGCCTTTTTGTGAAATGCGCATTTTCAAGCAGAAAAGTGGGTTTTTTTGTCTTTACTGATATTTTACAATGTATGACAGTTTCTTACTATGACACAAAACAGAAACAATACTTTGAATTGTATTTTTAATGTATAATTATTTTTAAACAAATTAAACGTGTACACACAATACACTCAAAGGATTGTCTTATGTACACATAAAATATTCAACTTGTATACAATAAAAACACTTTGTATACAAATATACAGTAAAAATAACACTTTCTGAACACTTTGTGAAACATTTTTACTTTAGTTTATAAAGAATAGTAATTGGGTGACCCCACACTCTGCTGAAGTGTGGAATCTACTTCATCTGCACTCCCAATACATTTCCAGATTCGTTTTTTTTTTTACAAACCCAGAGAGAAATGTCAAACCAAAAAAGGTTTTTAGCTGCTAGACTGTCACTGGCTTCCATGCATTTTCTCTGCTGAATGGGAGACGCTGTGTGTGTGCACTGAAATATTGTGCTGCAGACAGCTTTGTCAGTTTGACAACAAGATCCAGGTCCAGAAGTTCATCAGTTATGAAGAGCTGCAGAAGTCAGCTGCTGATCCAAATCAAGCTCTGCTGCAGCATTTTGGGGTCCTGGGGTCAACAATCTACGACACAAAGGAAAATATAAAATCACCATACATTTTCACATTATAACAAGTGTTTTAGCTACAGCAGCTATGACATTGAGATAAAAAAACTCTTCAATATTCGCTAAAAACGTTACTTTATGTTTATTTTTACTATAGTATAAGCCAGTGATTGCTAACACTCCGTCCAGAATCTCTCAATGTTTGAACGCAAAATCACGCAGACTCAGGGATCAGAGCAACAGAGTCAGTCTCTCCCTGTTCCAAAGCAGCAGCGGGCGCGCTCCTGACGCACCCTCCACAGTGAGACGCACCACCGCAGAATGCACATGGTGCGGTAAATCTAACACTTGTTGCTCATCATGGGTCTCGCTCACCGGTCTGCCATGGATCACCTTCCCCTGTCCCTTCTATAAACCACACGGTAACATCATCCATAGCTCCCTGGCAGCTAATGCTGCATGCCAGATTCACACGCCTCCAAACTCAAGAGAAACTTTTGGAAAAATGTCCTGCGTAATCAAGCATTTTACCCCGCAATAATCATTCATCAATCAACAATTGCGCGCAAATCCTGGAGGGGCTGATAGTACATTAGACAAAGAGGAGAAATAAACTCGTAAATGCAACATGTTGAAGTGAAAAGCAACTTACCACATGACGACGGGGGGAGGAGCCGCTGCTGCTGCTGCTGCTGCTGCTGCTGCTGCTGGACAAGGAGGGAGGGAGAAGGCTCCGAGGATCCTGGAGCCTCATGTTAACTAAAACCTGAAGAACTAGCATCGTGGCATCTAGCTGCTTCATATTTATTCGTTTGATGACTGAACAGGCTCTCAAACAGCGTTAGTTGCGTGAGCTTCTCAGATCCGCGATCCTCTGTGTAAGCATGGCTGCTCCTCTGGCTGTTTGCTGCTCACAGCACCACATGCCCCCTTCTCCCTCCCTGGATCTGGCCACAGTGTCACCTCTGCCCCCTACAGGATCGGTTCCAAAGTGTTTACAGGTCTGAAATGTTGACACAGGATGCACAAGAGCCTTGACGAGCCATAGAAAGAAAAAAACGAAAAAAAAGCGATTGACGTCTATAGACGTCAATGGCAGTGAATGACTTAGTTTGGTGTTGTCTATTCCTCTCTTTTGGCTTTTAATGTCTTTTAATATCTATGGACCTTGTGTCTGCAATAAAGCCTAATAATAAAATAAACATTTTGATAAAAGGGTGGTTAACCATTGCATTTATTAATCATCAACGTGTTTTCGTGATTTGCAGACTGCGGAGCTGGCTTTGTCCAATCTGAAAACAAAGTACGAGACGGAAAAGGGCATGGTGTCAGAAACCATGGTGAAACTGCGGAATGAACTCAAAGCTCTCAAAGAAGATGCTGCCACCTTCTCCTCACTCCGAGTCATGTTCGCCAGTCGGTGAGAGCTTTAGACTCTGATCAGCAGGAGGTGGAGGCGTGTGAATGTGTAGAAAGGTTTCCACTGTGTTTTGATTCCTCTCCTGCCACTACGTCTGTAATCAGATTACAATACTTAGCGTGGCTGAGGACAGTCAGGTTCACGTGAAGATTAGAGCCCACATGCTTTGCCTTGTGCTGACGACCCGGGCGCGGCTTCACTGTGGCCACTCGGAGCCGTCCGCGAGCCCTGCGTCACGGAGATGCGTCACAGTGATGCGTCACAGATGAGTAGGAAGGTCTAGAGGACAAATCATGTTCAGCACTATATTAAGTACTAATATTCAATCATTTGTTTTAGATAGTTCAAATATGTTGGTCTTAAAATTGGCCGGTTTCTGTATAGATGATTGAATAGTAACAGGAGAGGAGGATTAGTGATGCTTTCTTTACTATGTTATAGTGCCCTCGTGTGGGTGTATGAAGGTATTGCACTTTATGTGACTGACTTTGGACAACCAGTATCGTATTGAGATGACACCTTTTGATCTAAACTGTGCCTGTCTGTTTTGACTAATCTTAATCACAAATTGAAGTGGATAAAATAGTTTTAAGCGTGCCGTGTGTATGTTTTGTTTCCTCTAACATAAAGCCCTTAACATTTGCCTGTGCATGCTGCCTGCTCACTGTGTGTGCTCTCACAGGTGTGATCAGTATGTCACTCAGCTGGACGAGATGCAGAGGCAGCTGGCAGCAGCAGAGGATGAGAAGAAGACCCTGAACTCTCTGCTGCGGATGGCCATTCAGCAGAAACTGGCACTGACGCAGCGTCTGGAGGACCTGGAGGCCCCCATGTCTCCTCACAGTCTGAACAGCAGTCCGCGCCGCTCCCGCACTAAGGAGCTGGCCACAAAGTCTGGCCGTGCCCCACGCAGTCCCAGAGGAAGCCCTGGACGGCCCCCAGCGAGAAGCAGCCCTAGAGCCAGTCCTGTCCCCGGCAGCAGTGTCCCAGCCATGGCCACTCACCACCTCCGAGCTCTGACCCGGAGTCTGCACACAAGCCCAGTAAGAACCAACCCTCCTGACCTCAGTGCACCAGGACACAGGTCTCGTAGGGGCCGTGCTGTCCCTCGAGACGCCACCTTCATTAGAAGCCAGAGCGTCAGTGCTGCAGGCCCCTGTGCTGAGCGTAAAGCCTCCGTGAGCTCGGTCAGAAGTGACGTCACAGCCAGAGAAACGTACTACTCACAAAGAGGCTCCTCCAGCCGCAGAGCTTCAGTACCTGTGCGCCAGGACACTTTTATCACAGCTCGCGTTGTGCCGGCCTCTGAGACGAAATCCTCATTATTTTCCTCGTCTAGTGAAAGTCTAACCTCTTCTAAAGGTGTGAGTGTGCATGCTAGTGCTAATGCTAACGGTAGTGCTAATGCATGGGGGGATCATTCTGTGCGCAGAAAGCAGCAGGTGCCTCAGAGGTCCAGTTCTGTCCAGACTTGTTCTATCACGTCTCGGTTAGACGCACTGATGAGCACACACTTTCCTGAAACGCAGGATTCTAATGTTTACAATCCACGAGGAAGGGGGTCCAGACACAGAGTCTCAGCCTCCACAAACAGAGCCACTGAAGAAGCAGCGGCGCAGTCCAATAAAGGCACTAAAGCTTACCAGGGCGCCAGGGCCCGGAGCTCACACTCCAAATCCTCTCGCCGTCGTTGAGAATGATCACAATAATGATCTAAAACAGCCGCAGTACGTCAGCATTACAGAGTGCAAAACAGTCAATCACAAGCAGCCAGTTAATGATTTTTTTTTACAAAAATACAACTTAAACTTAAGTTCATGTTGCACACATATCCCTATACCAGCCTATTCATTCACACAGAATCATACGTGAACATTTCAGCACTTGTAACTAGGGCTGGGCGATAAAACGATAACGATATATATTGCGATAGACACGGGTTCGATATCAATAGAAAACAGGGTCGATAGAACTTCGATAGTTTCACTTCAGTCCGTTCGGAAAAAAACAGGAACAAAACACAGGAAGTAAAGCCGAGTCAGAAGCGCACGGCATTCTGGGGGATGTAGGCAAAGGCTTCTCGACCTATCACAGCCGACTACAAACCGCAAAACTTTCTGGGAAAAGCATAAAAACAACCGCACCATGCGTAGCATCCATGGATTATGGCTCTATTATAATAGCCATGGATCTAAAGATCGTGTTTCAATGCCGTGTCAATGGTTAAACACGTCCGTGCGAGGAACAGCATGTGCGGCGGGAGAGGCAGTGGGTACAGAGACTCGATGCATTCGGCAAAAGCAAGAGATTACCTTTTTCCGGAGCCGCCACAGGGACACAAGACACTCGAAAACAGCCAAAACAGGAGCTAAACCAGCACTAAACCAGGATTAAACCAGGACTAAAGTGGGGGAGACTGCTTGTGAACATTTGGCTCCAGCCTCATTCCCCCATGACTGTAAACAAGGCTGCTAACATGTGTTAGCTGACACGACAAATGTATTTATTTACGTTTTTAAAAATAAATAAAAAACAATCAATATATATCGTTATCGACCGATATGAATTAATAATATTGTGATATAGTTTTCAGCCATATCGCCCAGCCCTACTTGTAACATGATGTAGTAAGTTGACATGGTCGTTGTTGTTTTGTACTAAATCTGTTTTTGTCTTGTTTCCACCCGTCTTTGTAGCGCTGAAACGCTCCTTCCATTACTTCAACTCCCCACTTCTCCATAAGGACGTGTCTTCATGTTGACTCCCTGGCTCCTCCTCTTCCTCCCCTGACTCAAGACCCTGTTCATCCCAGATCTGGTGACACATTCCCCACTGTGGACTTAAAAAAAACCTCTCATTCGATCCTGCATGCAGCCTGGAGTCGGATGAAGAGACAGACATGCGCTGCTCATTGCTTTTGTGAAGTCTTATTTTTGTCTTGTCCAAAGTAGCTCACACTTATTGTTTCATGAAGAAATTGTGTTGTTGTTTTTTTTTAACCAGTAACAGTATTGAATTCCCTGAAGTAGGGCTGGGTGTCGATTTTTAGGAGAACGGGTACCAAAGAAACATGGGAACCGAAAAACACGTGGTTTCTGGAAACTCCTGACGTTGCTGGGCAGTATCTATCAAATACGATGGAGACTTCTGGGGTTTAATAGAAACTTTATAAAGTTCTAGACCAGGGCTGTCAAACTGGCCCTTTCTGGAACCGGTTTGACACCCCTGTGCTAGTCGATGATTCTAGAACTAAAATAAAACCGTCCAAGGATTCGGCACCAAAAACAAGGTATTGTTCAAATACTTGTACCCGATTTCTAATGAGAGGTCCCCCAGCCCTACCCTGAAGTGCAGTATGTTCTGTTCTTGCTTTGGGACAGCATTCACATATACCCCTTTTGCCTTTTTAAACCCGAATGCCTGTTAGTCCATAGATCCCTTGTAATTTCCGCCCGGCAGGAGTAGTTCTAATAGCTTAAAGCAATCTTTATGCGTCTGACTTCTTATTAACCCTCAAAGCTTGGCACTGTTAGACCGCTTTAACTCGTTTATTAGCCCAAATAACCCTTTAACTCGAGTCCAAAAACGTCAATTGAGCTGATGGATAAAGATTGGTCATGAAAAACACCAACTCAGGTCGACAAACAAACGGATTTCTTTCAGTTCGTTTTTTCAGACTATGCAGATCCTGTGGAGTGGAGTGCCTCAGAAACATGTGTTGATAATATCATAACCGGTTCCAAGTTTTTATGTGTTTATCCACTAATGTTTCATCTTGTTTTGCAGTTATCTGTGCTACCAAATCTTCCTGGTGATATTAACACGCATAGTTAGAAATATTCAAAAGGCACCCGATTGCAAATGCATTGTGAGAAAACCTGAGTATTATTAAATATCAGGGTTTGGTGAGTTTAACCTCATTCTCTAGCACTGTTTTTAAATGCGTTTTGTTACAATTCAGTAAACTTGGGAGAATGATCATGCAAATTGGCTCTCATAGTAACAGTAGTTGCTTAAGTTTTGATTTTTATTATTGTTTTATCGTCCATCTCTGTAGAGAAAGTCCATCCTGCTGATTTCTGTTTTAGTGCCTTGTTTTTTTTGTATTCCTTTAATTTCTTTGTTTTACCCATAACACATGTTTGGGCTTACCACACTGTATTTTTGCTTGAGGAACCGTTGTGAAGAAGGGTTTAAGCACTTCCACTTTGCATTATGGGATAAAAATGTTTTCACCTTTTAGCTTTCTTCTCTTGTGTTAATAAGCTTGTTAAAAAAAAAGGTTGTATCTAATATTGTAACAAATGGCCAGATGATGTTAAAATTATGCACAAGCACTGGATGTAAAAAATAAGGATCTATTTATCAAGGAATTTGTGCTAAAAAGTGAAAATGTTATGTCTTATTACACTGAAGGCTGTAAATGCATTTATAGACCTATTTATTTTCCTTGTGCAAACCTGTGTTTAATTTATCACAACTGTTACATAATAAAACTATTTATGTTTTCTGCAATAAGAGTACAGTCTTCAACAGATTTGTGTTCTCCATGTTTTGACTTGTATGCAATGTCCATGCATATAGCTGTGAAACATTCTGCAATCTTTGTCATTTGTCAAGAATTAAACTAAAGCAATGCAAATATCATGTGTTCTGGAGTGTTTTAACCATCTTTGACAAGCCTTGGGCACAAAACTGTGATGGTTATTACTGTGTCATTACTCCAAAGCTGTGACAAAGTTATTAGTTACTACTTGTAAAAACGTTTTAACGTAGTACCAAGAGCAGCAAACATGATTCAATACTGGAAAGCCCAAACTGGCGTTTCTTTGGCGTTTCTTTGGCATTTCACTGCTGCAATCCTTGAATGGCTCAGAGGGCGGAGATGAGAGGGAGAGCAAACTACTTTTCAAAGCAGTCCTCAAATATTCTTACTGTATTTCTACACTGTGGCACGAACAAGTGCTTATTCCTGTTTCAACACACATTGTGGCCTATAGAGGGCGCCCCAAAGCCCACTTTAGGAATCACTGGGCTAAAACCAAAATCTCTTTTTATTCAATAATCACGTTTAATAACCTGTGGGTGTATCGTTGTCATGGAGACGGAAGTTGTATATATTCAAAAATCCTCGTTGTCATGGAGACATAAGTTGTATATATTCAAACTGCTGCTCGCTCACTTCACTTGCTGTTGGTCTCTGACGCTTGTGTGGATCTGTGAACTCTCTCCGTCTCATTTGCGTTTGAGGATAAAGCGGTGGTAATAACACTGAGGCACTAAGACACTTTGCAAAACCAGTTTGTTGACACTTTTCCAGGTCTGAAAACATCTTTGAACGGTCACTTTGTGAAGGATGGCTCGCCCCTCCCACGCCCTGCCCCTGTTCCCTGGAGGTAATACCACTGAAATGATCATGAAATACGGATTAAATAAATGACCACAACGTGATATGAACAATTGTAGTAGTAGTAGTATTGTATTGTGTGGCTAATTCAATGAGCCACGTGTTTGTGAGAAGAGCTAGCTAGCATGTGCGCCGGGCCCCTGTATGAAAGTGCTTCATTACAGATGTGGACTTTTCTCTTTTCGTTTGGTAACATGTAAAACAGCTGCTGATCATGGCACAAGTTGATCAGAAAGGCTGTAAGGTGGTGTTTGTGGGCGTCAACATGTATCAGCATCATACAAGTTCATGAGCAGACCCAGTCACAGATAGTTGACATGTAATCATTGAGGCACATTAGACATGGCTGGAGATGCTGTACACTGGTTTATCTGAGTATTTCTCATTGATGGTGGTAACAGTGGTTCACTGTACACTGTCAGATGCACTGTAGTGCTGCAGAAGGCACACTGAGCTCACTGGGATCAGCTAATACTTCACCAAGTCTAGATAATGTATGATAATAGTCCACTCAAACACTTAGGACTTGAGGGCTTTTTTTTAAGAAAATAAAATGTCCTTCTGATCCTGACTGCACTGGTGCTTTCCTTCTCTTTTGTCTTCATGATGACGTGGACTGCTGTGTTTGACTCGTGACTTTAACAAAACAAGAACACTTTAGTGTGTGAGGAAGTTGTTGATGTTGTCAATATGTTTCAGCGGCCCGGGACCCCCTGGACGCTCCGGAGGACCTTCTCCCTGACTACTCGTCAGACGAGGAGGACGCAGGTGAGTTGCAGGTAGGTAGGGCTTTTCTCCTCATGCGTGGCCGAGGCTTGGACGAGGCTTCTGATGAAGAGGATGAAGAGGAAGAGGAGGAGGAGGAAGACTGGGACGACGCAGACTCTGGGTACGACAGTCTCTCCGAGGAGGACGTCAGCGAAGAGGAAGACGAGGACACAGAGGGTGAAGAGGACGACCAGCGTCTTCCTCCAGAGGACTTCTGGGACGACCTGCCCCCGTGGGCCCCTCCTGCTCCAGCTGTGGGGGTTCCTCAGCAGCGAGCAGCGAGCCCTTCTCCTGCGCCCTGTCCCGTCTTTGAAGAGGAGCGTCGTCCAGGGAGGTCCAGGCGCCACAGGGATGAAGATGAAGAGGAAGAGCCCATCTCCAAGAGGTCACGCTTCTCCTACTCTGAGGACATCGAGGAGGAGCCCACCCCCTCCACCTCTGCTGGGACGTCCGGGGGCTTCGTCCGCTTCTTCCAGCAGCTCCACCCGCTCCAAGACTCTGACGAGGACTGAAGCTCAGCCTGAGACTGGAGACATCAGCCCCTGGAGGCGAGGAGGAGAGAAGGCCACGCCTATTTCCTCAGCCCTGTGACACGAGAGGAGGTCACAAAGTGCTTCACATGGGACACACGCTCCACCATCAGCAGCCCATTTCTCCTCGGGACATTTATTTCTTTCTTGATTTATTGATTGAGGCAAAATGTTGCCATTTACCTTAAGCCAAAAAAACAAAAAACACAAAAAAAAAGATTTACCTAGCACAAGGGTTTTCAGCCTTTAGACAGATAGCCTTATATGTGTATCAAACATAACGCATGTATTCATTCATTAGAACACAAAAGGATGAATACTGAGTAGTTACAGTGATGAAAGACATGTGAATGATTCAGCAACATTTGTAGATAAACCCTTTCAGAGGACACTTTGAAAGGGCTGGAGAGCCAATCCGCACTATAGGTTTAAGACCCTTGTTCTAGAGTCAGTAATAGTTTGTTTCAAAAGAGGAGAAGGCAAAGAAGACTATGTAGGACTTCCATAAAGTAGAAATCCTCCAGTAGTCTCCACAGCAGAAGCACATTGAGTATGAGCAGTAAGTCCACAGATGATCCTCATGTGAGCAGAGATCTTCAGCCTCACTCTGTCCTCCATAGTACTCCTTGCTTTCTCCTCTGGGGAGTCGTTCAATAACCAGCCCTTTAAACTTTATGGAAATAAAGTTTGTTGATTGATTTATTGATGGTTACTGCGATACCCACTGCTTTGATGTGCTTTTTTAAATCAAAGGACAGGAATACTATGTAGGAACGTGTTAGACACAGGTCAGCTTTGACAGAAAAACTCACTCTAAAATGACACAGTGACCTGATTGTATGTGAGAATGGAAGAAATAAGAGCTTAAGCTGACTCTAGTGTGGTTTCCTGCATCGTACGCCTGGCCTTGTGTTCACTCTAGAGCAGGAATGCCCAAGCTGGGGCCCGTGGGCCACATTGGTCCCTTTGAGGGTCTAATATGGCCTATGAAGGGGTGAGGACATTGGTCAAAACCAGTCTGGCAGTCATTAAGGACAGTTTAGTCATTCCTTTTGATTCAAAACATAATTATCTTTGGCCCTCTGCCCACCAATATAGTTTTAGCCGCAGATTGAACGTTTGGCCACCCCTGCTCTAGAGCTGAGGAGGATCAGCAGGAGAGGAGGTGGAGTGCCACCTACAGGCTCGGTGCTGTGATCCCTCCTCTTTCCAATGATTCTGCTTTATCCATTGCTGGGTTGCGAGGTCGGCTGTCTAAACACAGACGGCCAGACTTCCCTATCCGCACACATTTCCTCCAGCTCATCCGGGGGAATCCCGAGGCGTTCCCAGGCCAGCTGAGAGACCTAGTCCCTACAGTGTGTCCTGGGTCTTCCCCTGGGTCTCCTCCCAGTGGGACATGCTCTGAACACCTCCTTAGGGAGGTGTCCAGGAGGCATCTGAAACAGATGCCCGAGCCACTTCAACTGGCTCTTTTTGACGTGGAGAAGCAGCGGCTCTAGTCTGAGCTCCCAACGAGTGACTGAGCTCCTCGCACTCTCTCTAAGGGAGGGACGCAGAGGAAACTCATTTTGACCACTTGTTTCTGTGATCTCGTCCTCGGTCATTAACCAAAGCTCATGACCAGGGGTTGTTCACGAGAGGCTCACTCGTGAGCAAGACCCCGAGATACTTGAACTCCTCCACTGGAGGAAGGACCTCTGCACCTGGAGAGGGCCAGGCACCTTTTTCTGGTCGAGCCCCATGGCCTCAGATTTGGAGGTGCTGATCTTTATCTCAGCCGCTTCACACTCGGCTGCAAACCGTCCCAGTGCATGTTCAAGGTCCTGGTTTGTTGTAACCAGCAGGACAACATTGTTCCATCATCCTGTGGTCCCCAAATATGTTTATTTATTTTATTTTATTTATTTATTTTGTTTTATTTTATTTATTTATTTTATTTTATTTATTTATTTATTTTATTTTATTTATTTATTTTATTTATATTTATTTTATTTATTGGGCGGCACGGTGGCTGAGTGGATAGCACTCTCGCCTCTCAGCAAGAAGGTCCTGGGTTCGAATCCCGGTCGGACCAGGGCCTTTCTGAGTGGAGTTTGCATGTTCTCCCCGTGTCTGCGTAGGTTTCCTCCGGGTACTCCGGTTTCCCCTACCACTAAAAATATGTCCAATAGTTCTAGCATGCGCCTCCTGTACCGGCGACCCCGCTCCCATCTCTGTGTGGAGTGAGAGATAAATGCCCATAATTAACAATTGTAAACCGCTTTGAGACTCAGATCTGTAGTGAAAAGGCGGTATATAAATAAAGATTACTTACTTACTACTACTTTATTTTATTTATTTTATTTATTTTATTTATTTTATTTATTTTATTTATTTTATTTATTTTACTTGTTTATTCTATTTTACTTTATTGTATTTATTCATTTTTTCTTAATCGTTTTTTTATTACTTTGATATAATTTTGGTTTGACATGGACAATGTGGTCAGACATATTTACCAAACTAAGCTGATGTTATGCATGCAGACTATAACTAAAAGGCAAACGCACCTTCACAACATTCTGTCCCTGTGGGCTTTTCTACACTCACTTTAAAACCTTCATGAAAACAATAATAAAGAAACAATATCTCTCCTTCATTTCCTCACATACACAAGTCGTATTTGACAGTGTTTAACAGTTAGTCAATGTTGACAAAGAGTGGGTCTTAAGTCCATGTGCCCTTGTGTGAATGTACATGTAGAGCCTTCAACAGGGCTTTGGAGGCTGTGACCTTAGATTCCTCGGCCAAAGGTACGACATGTGCATTTGTTTGGGCTGAGGACAGAGACGAGGCACTTCCAGCTTTGACAGCACTGAAAAAGACACACACACACCGCCACATAAAATAGGAGTTTGTGATAAATTCATCATACAGTCATTGTGTGAATGAGCACATGAGGAACACACACTGACAGCTTTAACTGGCCTTGTGTCATTATCAAAGATGTCTTCAGATTGTTTCCAGATTTGTGTTCCAGGAGGAGACAGTGGTCATGTCCCGGTGAGTCGTCTTCAAATAAGTCATGAACCTATGAATGAGAGGCTCAGTCTGCTCCTACTGCTCAGATGGATGTGTCGCTGATGGAGCTGTCCATGGTATCAACCACACTACTGCAGTGAAGCACCACTAGAGACCACCCTGATCCTGACTCTACACAGTGAGAGGCCCTTCTGACTCTGGACCAATAACATGGACACGTGTTTGGTGAGCTGGACTCTTAGGGTCCATTTAGGATCCACAGTTGAATGCAGACATATTGTTACTTACATTAATGAACTTGTTTTCATTACAGGAACTCAAGCTCAGTGTTCTACAATGACTGTTGAACTTCCAATTCCAGCCACAAATAGTCCAAAGAACACACATCCAAACATTCGTAAGTCAATATCAGAGAAAAAGAGTGTTCAGTCTGTATCTGCACATCAGAATGTAAATGACATGTAACTTGTATTTGACCAAATGTAGGATCTATTCTTGTGAGTGTGGCGTGTGGAGGCTGCAGTCCACATCAGAGGAAGAGAGGAACCTGCCACAAAGAGACCAGACTCATCTCAAGTGAGAGGCCTTCAGTTTGTGTCCTGCTGCTCTTCTGAACTGCTCTTCTGAACACAATGGTTTTGTTCAGGAAGGAAACCTGAGGGAGGGCTCCAGGAGAGAGGATTTAAAACTTCTTCTTCTTCTGAGCACGTTTGTACTGTTGTAGTGAAGAGGGAGCAGCGTCTACAGTCAAAGCTCTGGATTTACTGCTCAGTGAACGATATGTTCCCACCATGAGCTTTGGAGAACGGTCCAAAGGACAAGATGGCAGATACAAGGCTCTAAATGAGTTTCCTTCTGACTAGAGCCACTGCTCCTTCACGTTAAGAAGAACCATTTGAGGTGATGAGAGGAGGCACCTTTTCAAAGTGGGTTTGGCACAGTACTGCATACTCCAACCAGCAACAATACACTCAATGATCTTTTCAACTGGCCCTTTGTCGTCAGATGCAGATGGCTGTTTAAAGATGCAAAACCCAGAGACAGGAGCAAGTGGCCTTGGACCTGTAAGACGTTCTTCAGTGCCTTTTCACCTGGCAGACTATGATGTCAGTGGAGCAAGGGCCCAGGGGCAGTCGAAGAAGACACTCGGAGCACTGGGGCCTCCACCAGCGCTCAGCACCACAGAGAGCCACACCCCATGCACCTGACCACAGCCCACCAGTATACCAGTGTAGATAAGACCAGAGCCATGTCTGCTGAGAGCCGCCTCAACTAGGAGAAGCTCCAACAGAGGTGAGAGTGAAGTACCTCCAGCAAGTCTCTATGAGGATTTACAACAAGATTTCAACAATACCATTCTTCTGTTTTATTGTGACTGCAGGCGCTGAGGAGCAGTTGGACCTGTGGACCTAACGGAGAAACTGACCAAAAGCGGCTCCAATGAAACTCAGCCCCTCTCAATACAAGGCCAGGGTACTGGGCCGGAGGCAACGCCTCATGCAGCTGCATATGTGTGTGAAGTGGGGAGTCTGGGCCACTCTGCTCAGACTGCTGCACTGAGCAACTGTTTAATTTTTAAAAGTTAGCCAGCGTGAAGCAAGTGTTTTTTTTCGTTCCCTGAGCGTTGTAGCACGTGAGTAATCAGAGGAAAGTACTGTAGATCTATTACCATTCAAAGTACTTACGTTATTTCTAATCTGTCAACGCACTGTTTAATGTTCCGAGGAGCTCACACGGCACAGAGACAGAACAGAACTGGCTCCAATAAAGAAACAGGTTGGTTGAAAGGCTGAAAAAATACTTATTGTGCTCTTACTATCCAAAATGTATAAGTGGGTGTGTTGTGTGAATCAGGATAAACTAGGGATGAAAATATTCCACGGATCCACGATTTACAACCTTTATCTGCTGATAATGTGATTTCTGTGAAATGTGTGACAGCGGGCACTTGCTGTTAT